CCCAAGCCAGAATCACAATCATTCTCAATGAGGAAGCAACATAGCCTAATAGTAAAGAACTTGTTCTTTAGCATCAGACTGCTTATGTGCATAATACTAGCTTTGCTGCTTCTTAGCTGCACCATAAGCAAGTTACTTCCCTGGCCACGGCTTCATCTGTAAAATAGGAACGATAACAGTACTTGCCTCCAAGAGCTGTTGTGAGGATTAAATGAGTTACAGTAAAGCATTTTAGAACACTACCTGGCAAGAAGTGCTATATATATTATTGGCCATCAAGTTCTACTTATCTTTTCCCTAAAATCACTCTCAAGTGCATTTCTTCTATTCCCACTGTCACTGTTTCAGTTTATACTTCCAGATTTTAACAGTCACATTTATTCATTTTTCAAACAAATTTATAAATAGCTAGGATAAGAATGAACCAGTATTAGATTCTGGGGATAGAAAGATGGAAAACAGGTGTGCCCGGGTGGCTCAGTAGGTTAAGCATCTGACTCTTGATTTCAGCTCAGGTCATGATCTGAGGGTTGTGTGATCGAGCCCCATGTCGGACTCTGCAGCTTGACAGCCTCTGTCCCTCTCATTCTACCCCTCCCCTCCTTTCTCTCTCTCTCTCTTAAAAAAAAGAAAAGAAACATGGAAAACAAATAAAAACCTACAATCTCAACCCTCAGTGGCTCTAGGGAAGTCCAGAACAAATAAATCAGAAATTACAGTACAACATAATTAGTGCCATATCAGAGGAATGCACGTGTGCACATGTATGCTAAGAGAATATAGTGAAAAAGATAACAAAAAAAAAGTGGCTTTGACTTTAACTTCCCCCAAAACAGACTTAGGATATATTTTCCGTATTCCCCCAAAACTATGAATATACTCCTACTGGAGCACTTAACACACTGTATTATGTCTACTGAATGTCCAAAGCCATCACAACTTTAACATGTCTAAAACAGACCTCTTAAGCCCCCCACTTGCACTCCTGCTGTCAACCCCGCCTCCACTATGTTCCTTCCCAGTTCTTTCCCATGTCAAATGCATCATTTGTGCAGTGCCCAAGGGATTGTCTTTGTTTCCTCTTTCCCTAACCCCCAACAATGAACCCTGTTAGTTCTACCTCTAAAATATTTCCCAAATCCATCCACTTCTCAACATGCTTATTACCACCTCCATATTCATCTCCCACACCTTTACTGGAACAGTTCCCTAAGTGGTCTTTGTGCTTCTACTATTGCTCCCTACAACTTTTTTCCAAATTGAAATCAAATCTATCACTTTAAAATCGTGAGATCCTGCTCAAAACACTCCAATGGCTTCCCACTGCAATTAGAATAAAAATCCAAACTTTTTAAGGTCCTACATAATTTGGGCCCTGCCTTCACTTCCCTAAATAGATCTAGTACTCTCTTTTTCACCCACCAGCTTTATTGGTTTTCTTTCTGTTCCTCCACTGTGCCAATCTCATTCCACTTCAAGGTCTCTGTCCTTGCTTTCCCTCTCTTTAGAACACTCTCTCAGCCCTGTGCATGGCTGGCTCCTTCTCTGGCTCAAAAGTCAGCACGTCTTACCTGACCTCTTACCTAAAGTAGCCTCTCTCCTAGATACTCTTTCATCAGGTTATTTGCACTTAACACTATTTGAAATTATATCATTTATTTTTTCACTTGTTTATTGTCTGTCTCCCCACTACTAGAATGTAAACTCCAAGAGATCTAGGCTTTTGTCTGGTCACTGTTACATCTCTAATGCCTACAGAAGTGCCCAGCACAAAGTTGGTGGTCAATAGAACATTCTGAAAATAATAAAATTTTGATGATTCGAACAAAGTAGTTTCAATGGTGCAGATGGGGTAGAAGCACATTTAAAGAGGACTAATAAATGAGTAATGAACAAAAGGAAATAGAAAATGTAGACTTCTTTTAGGAAGCATGATTGTGAGATGAGAAGTAGAGCGAAAGATAGAAGACCACGGTTGTTGAAGGGTTGTTACAAAGGAGAAAAACTTTTTTCTTAATTCTCTTTATATCAAGGACTCCCTTCAGAATTAAACAAAAGCCCTGAGTCCTCCCCTCAGTAAAATAAAAACACATATAAAACTTTACAATCAATTTCAGGGGGTTGAAGAACTCCCTAGAGTTCCTGTGCTCTAGATTAAGAAGCCCTACAGTATAAACACATCGAAGATTCCTAAGACATGGGTTAATGTTAACTAATGGAGAAAGGCCACTGAGCCAATAAAAGGAAACCCAAATAAACAGCATGTGCACTGTCCTTTGAGACTAGAAAGAGGAAAGCAAGGTCAGGTGAAGATTTACATAAGAAGGGGTAGAAATCTGAAGAAAGTCCTGCCTGGTAGAATTTTCATTTTTTCATGAAATAGGAGTTCATGTGCTAAAAAGAAAAAAATATCAATCTTGAGCAAAATACCATACATATAATATATGCTCAACAAATGTCACCAAATGTTTTGGTAGAATAATTAAAAATACTGGAGTATTTTATATGGGATTCTGAAATCTGGTTCCACAAAAATATCAACTTGTTTTCTTTTTATAAAACTGTCTCCAAAAGTTTATACTGACAGATACTTTGAGGTAGGAAGGAATAGCCTTACTAACAGAAAGATGTAGAAAACCACACAGTTTTATGAATAATTTTGAGATAAGTTTTTGTATTATAAAAATAAGTGAAAAAAATGTTTTGGGAATTCACTTCAAACAAAACAGTAAAGACACAATGCTTAACCTTTCTTATGAAAAAGAAATAATCTCTCCAGTTATCCAACCAAATTCAAGCTCCTTACTTCTCTTCATCCAGACTATTCTGTAAAGAAATAACTTGTCTTTTTAAAGGAGCATAAAACAATGGCCTTAGAAGTGATCATTTATCAAGACCTCTAAGAAACATAAGGGGTTAAGGAGTTGTTTTCAAGAGGCTTTCCTGAACTAAAAAATATTAATAATAAACTGATGTTAATCCCATAACTAAGACAAATAGAACTACCTTACTAACTAGCTTAATTCAAAAGATTATCATGGCGTACATGTATGAAAAAGTCCACAGCAGTGGTTCATGTTTACCAAAAACTGTAAAAACCTTAATAGTAGAGTAGCTAAACACTAAACAACAAACTAACTATAAGCAACAAGGATAAATCTTAAAAACAACGTTGGGTAAAGAAGCAAACTAGAAAGGAATATTTACTACAATTCCATTTATATAAAGTTCAAAAACAAGCCAAACTAGAATGTGCATGTTCACATACAAAGATGGTGAAACTCTAAGGAAAAGCAAGGAAGTGGTTATCATAGAAATCAGGATGGTGGCTACATCTGGGGAGAAGAGGGAGCATGTGATGAGAAAAGAGAATAAATAATAACACCTGCTCTGTCTCTGTGTATGGAATACTCTAAAAGCAAATTACCCTAAAACTGATCTAAGCAACTAAAAAAGACAGAAAAGGAGCCAACGGAATCTCTACATCTGATTCTATGCTGGACTATAAGCAGTGACTTTTTCAGACAATAAACAAAATAGGATATATTTTGCAAGCTGCCATTAAATAATGCCAAAATTTATTGTTTACTATAAATATTTCATTAATATACCTTCCTAGTTATTTCTCACTAATTAAAATTGAATGGTTTAGTTCCTTGAACAATTAAGATACAAACAAGAATCAGTTTTATCCTGAAGGCAGATTTGAATGTGACACTTTCCATTTACGTTTATAACTAACTTAGTTTCTTCTAGTTATAAACCAATTATTAGTCTATTTATTTCCTTACAGGTTAAAAAAAAAAAAGTGTACTTTAAATACTGAAAACCAGTGCGGGAAATTTAAAACAACGAATATCCTGCGATATAAGGGCCTGGAATGGAAGAAGGAAAACACTGGGGCTATGCCATCTATGCAAATCGTTCTTGAAACCCTAATCCTTGACTATACCATCGGGCTCCCTGCTCAGCAGAGAGTCAGCTTCTCCCTCTGCCCCTCCCCCCGCCTGTGTGCTCTCTTTCCCTCACAAAAAAATAAAATCTTTAAAAAAGAGAAAAAAAAAACAATAACAAAGTATTCCTATGCGTATTTAGGTATCAGGTCCATAATCGCCGCGGTTATTCAACTTTAGTCTCAAATGTGTTTTCAAACAAAACCCAGTTTACCTGCCTTTCCTGTGTATAATTTCTACTGAAATTATGTGAGATTTGCATGCAAATACCTACGTAATCTCGGCCCTTCCCCTCCCAAAGTCTATAAAGAGGCTTAGAAGTGAGAGGCGGGGAGCCAAGAAGACAGGTTGAACTCCCAAATCTCTGACTTCCAAATTCCTCACCTCCACTCCAGGCGTTTCTAAACAGAACAGTTCCCCCAACAACCAAGCGGAAAGCTGCCGCAGGAAGCGAAGCGGTCACCATAGGAACTGGGCTCAACCCTAAGCGCCCAAGAAACAACAACAGCGGCAAAGTTTGCTCCTGGAGGGCTTCCCTGGACGCAACTCTGTCCGCTACCGTCCCTCACAGCTGGTCAAACAGGGAATTCCCACCTCAGAGATCACCCACAACCTAATCCCCGTCACACCTGCCCTGTTGCAGGGCCTTCCGATCCAGGAGTTGCTTTATCCCAACCCGGTGCATCCCTGCTGCCTCTACCTGGAGCTCCGAGTCCCTCCCAGGGTTTCTCGGCCCGTCATCCTCCCCGGAGCTCATCTCGACGACTGGCAGGCTTTGACCTGTGCCAGGGATCCAGATCCCTCTCCGTCTCCATCCTCCGCCCCTTTCCCCTCCCCTCCCACCCACAAATCGACCTGGCCCCACCCCAGCGGAGGCAGAGGAAGGCGGGACCCGTAGGGAAGGAGGCGGGGGCGGTTAGCGCCGGTCGGCGCCGCCGTCGGCCCCGCCCCCACGCTCTGTACCTGAGGGGGGCTAGTCCTCCACCTCCCCGGCGCCTTCGCTCCGCTTCCGTCCCGCGCGCCCCCAGTTCCCGTGCGCACGCGTACCTGGCTCGACCCTCCCTCTCGCGGGGACTACACCGGGGCGCGCACAGCCACGCACGTAGAGACGCGTACGTCCACCTGTCCCCCTTACAGGGCGCGTAGTAGAGGCCTCTTCCTGGTCCATCCGCGCCGCGCAGGCGTACGCCCACGCAGCGCTTAGACGTCCCACACGAGCGTCCCGTCTCCTAGTAACCAGCCGCTGCCCGCTTCTTCATCATATAATTCTTACTCCCTGCCTGCGGCCGCCGCACCCACATAGAACACGCATGCGCAGGGCTGTATCTCCTGCCTTCTTCCTTCGGCTCTAAAACACCTGCTGCTTCACTATTGCAGCTTTGTTGCATTTTTTTCCCCCTAGGGATACGGTACCGTTTTGGACCCAAGTTCAGTGGACTCGTTACTCCCTAGAGCTGCTTTTGGGCACTGGGAGGTTGTTGAGCTCTCCAGCCGTAGCCAGGAGCCGGTTTTCGGGGAGTCTCCTAGGTCGGGTTCTGCTGCTGCATCCTCTCGGAAGAGGGCAGTTCTGTTCGGGTAAGCGCCTGCAGCCTGCGGAGCCAGCGAACCCACGACCGGGTCAGCTCTGCATGATTCAGTCATGGTTGAATCGGGAAGTGGCAGACCTAGCAATGAAAAGGCGCAGATTCCTGACTGGTATTCCTTCTCCACATGCCAGTTCTTCTCCGAGACCCCTTTCCAGAAAAACTGGTGATGGTTAACAAAAGAGGAAGGGGTATACTATCTCACTTGATATTTAATATTGTATCGATTGTTTGCCTGTTTAATACCATTTACATTTGTCTTCTGAGTAGGCGCCTTCAGTCTTGGAACACTAATTTAACCAGGTGTAATATTTTTGGCCATCCAACTATGTTAAAGTTAACCACATTACCTAAAAGTGGAGAAATGAGTTTTTAGTGAAAAAGAATGAGAACTGCATTACTCTGCCAAATTTTGGGAGCCCGGCTTGAAAAGAAATACTGTTTTTTAAACATTTCTTAATATTAAATTGTCTTAACACAAGCGCTTCTGAATTCTAATGGCTTTATCTGCTTGTCTTTTCCTACAGGTGAAATAGGTAACTAGATTTTTATAGCTGTTCTCTGATGATCTTGATTAAGTTTGCACCTCTATTTCAAAAGTAATTTCACATTTGAAGAGACTAACAATTCCTGTTTTTCCCAGGTGAGTACTCCTTCCCGCCCCCCCCCCCGCCCCGGTAATATATTATTGGCAGTCATAAACACATGTTAGAACAAATTTCTCCGTAGAAGTACATTTAATTATAAGTGCCATATGTTCTCCCCATCTCTGCTCTGATTTCACCATTATTTGTGCCATTACATCTCCTAGTTTGTAGCATTTTTTTTCAGCTATCATATACTTTGTGGGTATAGCCTAGACACTAAAAAATTAACTTGAGTGTCCTTGTTCTTTTAAAGAATTCAGAGGTTTCAAGAGGTACATTTCCTCTGAAATATAATTATGCCTAACTGATAAAATAAGTTACAAAGAAACATGAACTGGAGCCTGCCTGGCTCAGTTGGTAGAGCATGTGACTCTTGCTTTTGGGGTGGTGAGTTCAAGCCCCACATTGGGTGTAGAACTTACTTAAATTTTTTTTAATTAAAAATTTTTTTTAATTTTAAAATTAGGGGCACCTGGGTGGTTCAGTTGGTTAAGTGTCTGCCTTTAGCTCAGGTCATGATCTCAGGGTCCTAGGCCAGTGTCCAGCTCCCTGCTCAGCTGAGGGAACCAAGGAGGTATAGAGAAAAAAAGACCTTCCCCCCGTTCATCCTCTCTCTCTCACTCTCTCTCAAATAAATAAATAAAATGTTTAAAAAAGTACTTTCCTACCTTCCATATTTCCCTTACGGAAAATGTAAGAAAAGCTTAAGCATTTATGTGCACCAACTAGATGTTACTGAAGATTCTTTGGAAAGACTGTAGGGAAAAGGACATTTTAAGGCCAAACCAGGGCATGAAGATTTTCCTTTCTTTTCCTATCAAGGACTGTTGATTTTGTCCCCCAACCCAAGAAAGTGAATATTTTCTTTCCTCTATGGAATTCCAGAGTGGTAAGTGCTCCATCCTGCCCCAACTAATCCTTTTATACTACCTGTGCTCACCTGCTGTTACACTCCTGTGTAATTCTAAGGTCTGGGTTTTCTGTTCCCTTAGTTTCCCCCATCATTTCACAAGCTTCACTATGAAAGTCTCTATTTTGAGGTGCCTGGGTAGCTCAGTCGGTTAAGCTTCTGCCTTTGGCTCAGGTCATGATCCCCAAGTTGGGCTCCCTGCATCAGGCTCCCTGCTCAGGGGAGAGCCTGCTTCTCCCTGTGCCCCTCACCCAACTTGTGCTCTCTCTCTCTCTCTCTCAAATAAATAAAATCTTAAAAAAAAAAAAAGGAAACCTCTATTTTGTCTTTTTTTCCCTATACCTCCTTGGTTCCCTAAGAAAAAAATTGGGGACTCCAATTGAACATATGTTAAGTTGCTTGATGTTGTTCCACAGCTAACTGGTGCTCTGTTCATTTTAATACATCTTTTGATACATCTTCAAGTTCGCTCTTCTTTCCTTTGGCAGTGTTAACCCCATCCACAGTATTTTTTATGTCAGATTGGTTTTTTCATCTCTGGAAGTTTAATTCTTTTTAATATCTTCCATTTCTAACTTCATCATGCTCATGCTTTGCTCTATCTTCTTGAAAATATGGAATATATTTAAAATAGCTGATGAAGTCCTTGTGTACTAATTCTATCACCTGTGTCCTTTCTGGGTTTGTTTCTATTAACTCATTTTTTTTTCTCCTGCTTATGGGTCGTATTTTTCTGCTTGTTTTGCCTGGTTAATTTTTTTGGCTGTCAGACATTGCAGATTTTACATTGTTGGGTGCTGGAAGTTTTTGTTTTTGTTTTTGTTTTTCTTTAAATATATTTAGGCTTCCTTCTGAGATGTAGTGATGTTACTTGGAAACAGTTGTATCATTTAGAGCTGCACTGTCCAAAATAGTAACCACTAGCTATATGTGGCATTTTGAATTTATATTAATAAAATTAGATAAAACCTAAATTATTAATATGAAATAAGATTATATATTAAATATTATATTAAATAAAATTAGATAAAACTTAAGATTTCATTTGCACTATGTACATTTCAAATTCCAAAGCCACATATGGCTAGTGGCTAGTATAGTGGACAATAGATAGAGAATATTTAAATCATTGAGGAAAGTTCTGTTGGACAGCAATGCTTTAGAAGCTTCCTTTTAAGCTTTGTTACATCCAAAATACTCTTTAGGGCTAATCTGGCCTCTTTCTGAAGCCAGTACCTTTCTGAGGACTCTGATCAATGTCCTGTGTGTTAGTTCTTTACACTCAGGCTGGTGGGAACTCCATTCCTGACCCTGTGGAAGCTCTGCAGACTATTCAGCCTTTTCCTTTTTGGTGGTTCTTTCTCAGGCCCCAGTAGTTTCCTTGCACATGTGTTTCCTGATTAGTACTCAGCCAAAGAATTGTGGGGAATCCTCTGCATATCTCTGGAGGACTTTCTCTCACTGCCCCTCTCTCCACAAGTTCTAGTGACTGTGGCTTCTACAGACTCTGAACTCCTGTCTTCTCAACTCATTGAAATAACCAGACACACTGTCGGTTCCCCCTCCTTGTGCAGAAGCCTGAAATCTCTAAGCAGTGAGCACTCATAGCACTCACCTCGTTTATTTCCTTTCTCTCAGGGATTACTCTCCTGCACAGCTTTTTGTCCATTATCTAAAAACCATGTGTTTTGTCTATTTTATAACAGTGGTTTGCAATTTAAAAATTGCTTCAGACTGAGGGAACTGTAAGTGCATGAGCCCTAAAGCATAAGGGGTTAGCACAGCATGTACTTAGGAACGGCAATGAGGTCATGGGGCAGAATGAGTGAGAGAGATAGGAGTTTGAGAGGACAGAATGTTAGCTGGTGTATCAGTCTCCTATTGCTGGTGTAATAATTTACCACAAATTTGGTGGCTTTAAGCAACGCAAATGTATTATCTTACAGTTCTGGAGGTTAGGAGTTCAAAATGGATCTCACTAGAGTAAAATCAAGATGTCAGCTGGGCTGTATTCCTTGTGGGGGCTCTCAGGGAGAATCCATTTTCTTGCCTTTCCAGCTCCTGCAGAATACCTGCTTTGTACAGCTCATGGTGTCCTTTTATCTTCAAAGCCAGCAATGGCCAGTCAGGTCCTTCCCACATTGCATCATTCGAACAGTGACATTCCCACCTCTCTTTCACTTATGCAGACCCTTGTGATTACATTGATAACCAATGATGAGAGCAGGATAATCTCCCCACCTCAAAGTCACTTGACTGGCAACCTTAATTCCATCTGCAACCTTAATTTCCCCTTGCCATGTGACATATTCACAGGTTTTGGGAATTAGGATGTGGACTTCTTTGGGGACCATTATTCTGCCTACCACAGCTGGAGACTCAATATGTAGACAATTTCACTTTCACTCTGACATGGAAGGTACCTAGAGCAGAGTGGTAAGCAGAGAGGATTGATGAAATCTAGCTTATGTTTTAAAAGGCTCATTCCAGATACAGTTTGAGGAAAATTCAATGGGAAGGGTTGGGCAAGAATAGAAACAGAAACAGGATTCATTGAAGGATTAGATGTGGAATATGAAATAGGAGCTAAAAATTACTCCACCAGTAATGCACAAGGTTTCCCATCATCCTATATTCTCCTTAATTCTCCATGTTATCCACCTTTCTTTTTTTTTTTTTTTTTTTTTTTTTTTAAGATTTTATTTATTTATTTGAGAGAGAGAGAGCACGAGAGGGAAGAAGGTCAGAGGGAGAAGCAGACTCCCCGCTGAGCAGGGAGCCCGATGCGGGACTCGATCCCGGGACTCCAGGATCATGACCTGAGCCGAAGGCAGTCGCTTAACCAACTGAGCCACCCAGGCGCCCTATCCACCTTTCTAGTGTGCCATTCAGATGGTAGTAAACTTGCATTTCTCTGGTTCCTAGTAAGTTTGAACATCTCTTTATGTACTCATTATCTATTTGGGATTCTCCAATCTGTGAATTATGTCTTTACATCCTTTGCCCATTTTCCTATTGGATTTCCTTTTTTCTTGTTGATTTGTAGTTATTCTTACATTCTAGCTGCAAATCCCTTGTCTGCTTTATAGAGCACATCTTCCAATCTCCATCATTTTGTTTATAGTTTCTTTATTGAATAGAAGTTAATTGTGAGTAATCAGGTCCATCTGTTTTCTTCCTTATTCTCTAAGCCTTTTAGTTTTTATTCAAGAAATCCTTCTCCACCCACAGTGACAAATATTTTGTCCTGCATTTTTAAAACTGCATTTATAGTTCTGTGATTCACATCTGGGTCTTTACTGCATTTGGAGTCCACTTTTGTTTGCATATAAAAAAGGGATCCTGCTTTATTTTCATCCCCATCATGAGCTGGTATTCACAGTACTATCCTACTAAACTTAGTCTGTTCTATCCCCTTTGTTGTATGGTGCCACTTTTACCATTTGTGAAGTTCTGGCACATGACTAGGTCCAAACTGGAACTCTGTCATGTTCTGTTGGTCCTTTGTTCCTGAACCTGTACTAAACTATACATTTTTTTTTACTTTCACTTTGTGGCATATCTAATGATAAGGCAAGTCTCCTGTTGTGTATGTCCAAATTTATTTAGTTTCTTATGGAACTTTATTCTTCCTTATGCATTCAAGATTTCTTCTTGAATGGCAATCTGAATGCCAGGCCAAAGAGGCCTCAAATAGACTTGTTCTCCCTTCATGTCCTCAAGATTCCAGACAAGTTAAGGTGAGACTCAAAGGGCCAAATCTACCCTATTGCATTTGGTTCCTCCTCAATCTCTCTGTTAAACTGAAATTTAATGTGCTAGTTGAGAATTCTATATGTTACCATTATTTTACCATTGTTGATTTCAAATGCAGTATGTTGTTTTACAGAGTTTTGTTACTATGGTTGACCCTTCAACAATGCAGGGGTTGGGGGGCACCAACCCCCTGCCCATGCAGTCAAAAATCTGCATATATCTATCAACTCCCCCCAAACCAAACTATTAATAGCCTACTGCTGACTGGAAGCCTTACCAATAATATTAAAAATTTACACATATTTTGTATGTCATATGTATTATATACTGTATTCTTACGATAAACTAGAGAGGAGAAAAGGTTATTAAGAAAATCATAAGAGGAAAATACATTTACATTACCATGCCATATTTACTGAAAAAAAAATTTGCATATAAGTGGATGCATGTAGTTCAATCCTGTGTTGTTCAAGGGTCAATTGTATATTATTTTTAGCTTTTTTCAACTTTGTATTCTGAAAAAATTTTAAACATACAGAAACTTAACAAGAACAATCCACTGAACAATTTTTTATCCTTTCCTACCTAGATTAACAATTGTTAACATTTTAAACATTTTATTTTCTCTTTATCTATTGCTAGGTAATTTGAAAGCAAGTTGTAGATATGATCCTTTACCCCTATTTCAGCATGTATCTCCTAAGAACAAGGACATTCAGTAATATAACCACAGTACAGTTACCACATTTAGGGCATTTCACATTAATGCAATATTATTATCTAATAAACCATCCATATTCATATTTTCCGATTGTCCAAGAAATGGCCCTTATAATACATTTCTCCTCCACCTCCCCAAATAAGGATCATTCATTGCATTTGGAAATCATGTCTCTTTCGTCTTCCTTAATCTGGAACAATTCTTCAGTTTCTCTTTGTCTTTCATACATTGACATTTTTGAGTAGAGGCTAATTTGTTTTAAGAATAGAATAAATTCAATTTTATTAATTTGAAGATAGTATTAGATATATATTTGATGAGAAAAAAATTCACCTTCAGTTTCCAAATCTAAGAAATAGGTATACCTACATTTTAGAATATCATCAGAGAGAGCTTTTAAAAATTTAGCTAAATTGTATTTGATTCCTAAAAAGCCATTTCCTAATTGTTACATTAACAACTTCTGAGTAACTAGTATGGTTAGGATACCACAACAGGCCCAGGACTCTTCTGTTATAAACACTGATAGTGTTATAAACACTAACCACACATGGATAACAAAGTTTCAAGATGATGTCTTTAGAGATCTTCTGTCAATAAATGATTAGAGCTTGATGGGAATGAAATTCCAAATTCATAAAAGATACCACAGTACCTAAATATCAAAGAAATAATAATTTCCAAAAAAGTGATTAAGTGCTCTCATTCATAAGTCTGTTCCAGATCTCACATTACTGCTAAAGCATCTTCAGTACATCACTGTGTCTAACAAGCACTGGGCTTTCAGAAGTCCTCACTGTCTTCCTTGGCCAGGAAGCTGGTCCCTTCTGCCATCCTTATCAAGTTCTTTCAAAGCCCAACCCTGACCTATGCTCCCCTCCTTTCAGAACCTTTCCAAGCCCTCCCTCTGTGTTGCACACTCATATCTCTTGACAGATTGGGTATCTGTACTAAGAGGTACTGTATCTTTATTGGACTTTTTTTTTGTACTGTGGTAAAATATACAATTTACCATCTTAACCATTTTTAAGTGTACAGTCCAGTGTATTAAGTACATTCAGCGTGGTATAAAATCCTTTTAAGGGTGGTTTCCTCTTAGGGTGGGAGAACCCTGCCTGCCTTCCAGCTATCCTTCATCATTCCCCCAACCCTCTGAAGAGGTAACCCTAAGTGCTATTAAGGAAGAAGGGCAACAACTGATTGTAGCTACTTCCTGCTGGTCACGGGTGTTGAATGGGGCAGCAGTCAGTGTACCTCTCATCTCAATCTATCAAGGGGTCCCCTGTAGATGTCTGGTTTGACCTCTATGTGAGGCTCCATTTGAACCACAATTTGGAGTTTGATGACCATTATTCTGGAAGATATAAAGTGGGTTAGGGCATTTAGGAGGCAAGGCCCAAAGCACAATGCAAGACCGAGTACAACCAGGGGTCCAGCGAGAGATACAGGATGTTTTAGTGAACTCCCCACATACTCTGAGAGGGCAGGCGAAAGGAATGCAATAAGACTTATGATTTTGATGGGATATAGGGAAAGTAACATTTAAGAAGACTTTTCTGAGTCTAGTCGCTTCAAGACTAGTTTGAGGTCCTCTCTGGGTTCACAGAGGGATTTCAATTCCCTGTTGTTAGACCCCATTGGGGACTAGGGTTTGACTCCAAAATGGTGGATCCAGGTTTCAAATTTAGGCACTTTGACTGCTATTGGAGTGGCTAAAATCACTGTATGCAGGCCTTCCCAGATAGGCTCTAACAAGCACTTGGTAAATATCCCACTTGCTCTTGAGCTGGTCTCTGGGCCTGGGTTAGATCACCCAAGGTCATTTCCTTTAAAGCTGGGGCACTGAGCAAGGTCTTCTTGAGATTTTTTTAAAGGTTTTTCTGACTCTGGATCCCACATTAATAGATGGGTACTGGCTGTCTGGGTGTCCGGTTTTATAGTTTTAGATCTTACATTTAGGTCTTTGAGATTTTGAGTTAATTTTTGCATATGGTATTGGGTAAAGGTCAGTTTCATTCTTTGGCAGGTGGGTATCCAGTTTCCCCAGCACCTTTTGTTGAAAAAAACTGTCCTTTTCTCCATCAAATGATCTAAGCACCTTTGTCAACAATCATTTGACCATATATCTGAGGTATTTTGGGGCTCTCTCTTCTGTTACATTGGTCTGTATGTCTGCTTTTAGGCCAGTACCACACTATTTTGATTACTGTTGCCTTCTATTAAGTTTCGAAATCAGGAAGTGTGGGTCCTCCAGCTTTGTTCTTCTTTTTCAAGATTGTTTTGATTATTCATGATTCCATATGAATTTTCAGACGAATTTTTCTATTTCTGCAAAAAGCGTCACTGGGATGTTGATAGGGATTGCATTGAGTGTATGGACATCTTACAATATTAGGTCTTCTAATCCATGAACATGGGATATGTTTTATTTATGTCTTCTTTAATTTCTTTCAGCAGTGTTTTGTAGTTTTCATCATACAAGTATTTTACCTCGGTTAATTCCTAAGTATTTTATTGTTCTATTTATGCTATTGTAGATGGATTTGTTTTCTTAATTTCCTTTGCAGATTATGCATTGTTAGGGCACAGAAATGCAACTTAAAATTTTTTTTATTTAAATTCAATTTAGTTAACATGGTAAATTATTAGTTTCAGTGGTAGAATTTAGTGATTCATCAGTTGCATATAACACCAAGTGCTTATTATATCAAGTGCCCTCCTTAATGCCCATCACCTAATTACCCCATCCCTCCACCCACCTCCCCTCCAGCAAATCTCAGTTTCTTTCCTATAGTTAAGAGTCTCTTATGGTTTGCCTCCCTGTTTTTATATTATTTTATTTTTCCTTCCCTTCCCCATGTTCATGTTTTGTTTCTTAAATTCCACATATGAGTAAGAGTCCGACACTTAACTGACTGAGCCACCCAGGTGCCCCAAGGTGACACAGCTTTTTAGGGCATGTATTTTTTAAATCACCAAAAAATATGAGGTGAAAAAAAGCAAGACACCAAACACTGTACAACCTAAGTTCTCTATAATGGGTGTGTTTTAAAGGAACACAAAGGCAGAGAATGTATCTGGAAGGATGCACGAAGAACTGGTAACTGTATTTAATCCAGGGAAAGGAATTTATGGGTTGAGAGACAGGGTGAGAGGGAGACTTCCTTTTCATTCTATACTCTTTTGTACCCTGTGAGGTCTTTGTTTCTTAAATTCCACATATGAGTAAAATCATGAGATATTTGTCTTTCTCTGATTGGCTTATTTCACTTAGCATAATACCCTCTAGTTCTGTCCATGTTATTGCAATTGGCAAGATTTCTTTTTTTTTTAAGATTTTATTTATTTATTTAACAGAGCGAAAGAGCACAAGCAGGGGGAGCAGCAGAGGGAGAGGAAGAAGCAGGCCCCCTTCCAAGCAGGGAGACTGATGCGGGACTCGATCCCAGGACCCTGGGATCATGACCTGAGCCGAAGGCAGATGCTTACCATCTGAGCCACGCAGGCGCCAAAGATTTCATCTTTTGATGGCTGAGTAATATTCCATTGCGCATATACACACACACACGCACGCATGCACACCACATTTTCTTTATCCATTCATATGTTGATGGACATCTGGGATTTTTCCATATTTTGGCTATTGTGGACATTGCTGCTACAAACATTGGCGTGCAGGTGCCCTTTCAAATCACTATGTTTGTATCCTTCAGATAAATACCTAGTAGTGCAGTTGCTGGGTCATAGGGTAGCTCTATTTTTAACTTTTTGAGGAACCTCCATACTGTTTCTGGAGTGGCTGCACCGGTTTGCATTCCAACCAACAGTGTAAGAGGGTTCCCCTTTCTTCGCATCCTTCCCAACATCTGTTGTTTCCTGAGTTGTTCATTTTTTTAGCCATTCTGACAGGTGTGCAGTGGTATCTCATTGTGGTTTTGATTTGTATTTCCCTGATGCCGAGTGATGTTGAGCATTTTTTCATGTCTCCATTAGCCATTTGTATGTCTTCTTTGGAGAAATATCTGTTCATGTCTTCTGCCCATTTCTTGACAGAATTTTTTTGGTTTTTGCGTGTTGAGTTTGATAAGTTCTTTATAGATTTTGGACACTAGCCCTTTATCTGATATGTCATTTGTGAATATCTTCTCCCATTCTGTAGGTTGCCTTTTAGTTTTGTTGATTGCTTCCTTTGTTGTGCAAAAGCTTTTTATCCTGATGAAGTTCCAGTAGTTGATTTTTGCCCTTGCTTCACTTGCCTTTGGCAATGTTTCTAGGAAGAAGTTGCTGTGGCTGAGGTCAAAGAGGTTGCTGCCTGGGTTCTCCTCTGGGATTTTGATGGATCCCTGTCTCACATTTAGGTCTTTCATGCATTTTGAGTGTATTTTTGTGTATGGTGTAAGAAAGTGGTCCAATTTCATTCTGCATGTGGCTGTCCAGTTATTCCAACACCATTTGTTGAAGAGTCTGTCATTTTTCCATTGGATATTCTTTCCTGCTTTGTTGAAAATTACTTGACTGTAGAGTTCAGGGTCCATTTCTGGGCTTCCTATTCTGTTCCATTCATCTATGTGTCTGTTTTTGTGCCAGTATCAACTGTCTTGGTGATTACAGCTTCGTAATAGAGCTTAAAGTCCAGAATTGTGATGCTCTAGCTTTGTTCTTTTCCCTTCCTTCCTTCCTTCCTAGATTTATTTATTTACTTGAGAGAGAGAGTGCAGAGGGAAGGGGAGAGAAAGAATCCTCAAATGGACTCCCCACAAGTGTGGAGCCCATCGCAGGGCTTGATCCCAGGACCCTGAGATCATGACTTGAGCCAAAATTAAGAGTCAGATACTTAACTGAGCGGCCCAGGCACCGTAGTTTTCTTTTTCAACGTTACTTTGTCTTTTCGGGGTCTTTTCTGTTTCCATACAAATTTTAGGATTATTTGTACCATTTCTTTGAAAAAAGTTGATGGAATTTTAATAGGGATTACATTAAATGTGTAGAGTGCTCTAGGTAGCATAGACATTTTCACAATATTTGTTCTTCCAATCCATGAGCATGGAATGTTTTTCCATTTCTTTGTGTCTTCCTCAATATCTTTCATGAGTATTCTATAGTTTTCAGAGTATAGATCTTTTAACACTTTGGTTAGGTTTATTCCGAGGTATCTTATGATTTTTGGTGCAATTGTTAGTAGGATCAATTCCTTGATTTCGCTTTCTGCTACTTATTGTTAGTGTATAGAAATGCAACAGATTTCTGTGCATTGATTTTATATACTATGACTTTGTTGAATTCCTGTATTAGTTCTAGCAATTTTTTGGTGGAGTCTTTTGGGTTTTCCACATAGAGTATCATGTCATATGCTAAGAGTGAAAGTTTGACTTCTTCTTTGCCGATTTGGATGCCTTTTATTTCTTCTTCTTGCCTGATTGCTGAGGCTAGCACTTCCAGTATTATGTTGAACAACAATGGTGAGAGTGGATATCCCTGTCATGTTCCTGACCTTAGGGGAAAAGCTCTCAGTATTTCCCCACTGAGAATGATATTTTCTGTGGGTTTTTCATGTATGCCTTTTATGATATTGAGGTATGTTCCCTCTGTCCCTACACAGTGGAGAGTTTTTATCAGGAAAGGATGCTGTATTTTGTCAAATGCTTTTTCTGCATCTAATGAGAGGACCATACAGTTCTCATCCTTTCTTTTATTAATGTGGTGCATCACATTGACTGATTTGCAGATGTTGAACCACTCCTGTAGCCCAGGAATAAATCCCACTTGATCATGGTGAATAATCCTTTTAATATAGTGTTGGATCCTATTAGCTAGTATCTTGGTAAGAATTTTTGCATCCATGTTCATCAGAGATAGTGGTCTGTAATTCTCCTTTTTGATGGGGTCTTTGCCTGGTTTTGGGATCAAGGTAATGCTGGCCTCATAGAGTTTGAAAGTTTTCCTTCCATTTCTATTTTTTGAAACAGCTTCAGAAGACTAGGTATTAATTCTTCTTTAAATGTTTGGTAGAATTCCCCCTGGGAAGCCATCCAGCCCAGGACTCTTGTTTGTTGGGAGATTTTTGATTACTGATTCAACTTCTTTGTTGATTATGGATCTGTTCAGGTTTTCTATTTCTTCCTGTTTTAGTTTTGGTAGTTTATATGTTTCTAGGAATTTAGCCATTTCTTCCAAATTGCCTAATTTATTGGTATATAATTGCTCATACTATTCTCTTATAATTGTATTTCTTTGGTGTTGGTTGTGATCTCTCCTCTTTCATTCATGATTTTATTTATTTGGGTCCTTTCTCTTTTTGGTAAGTCTGTCCAGGGGTTTATCAATCTTGTTAATTCTGTCAAAGAACCAGCTCCTTGTTTTGTTGATCTGTTTTACTATTTCTTTGATTTCTATTATCATTGATTTCTGTTCTAATCTTTATTATTTCCCTTCTCCTGCTGAATTTAGGCTTTATTTGCTGGTTTTTTTCTAGCTTCTTTAGGTGTAAGTTTAGTTTGTGTATTTGAGTCCTTTTTGCTTCTTGAGGAAGGCATGTATTGTTATATAGTTCCCTCCTAGGACCACCTTTGCTGCCTCCCAAAGGTTTTGAACTGTCATGTCTTCATTTTCATTTGCTTCCATGTATTTTTTTTTTTTAATTCTTCTTTAATTTCCTGGTTGACCCATTCACGCTTTAGCAGGATGTTCTTTAACCTTCATGGATTTGTGGTCCTTCCAAATTTCTTATTGTGGTCTGTGGTCTGACTTCAAGTTTCATAGCTTTGTGGTCTGAAAATATGCATGGTATGATCTCAGTCTTTTTGTATTGGTTGAATCCTGATTTGTGACCCAGTATGTTATCTGTCCTGGAGAATGTTCCATGTGCACTCGAGAAGAATGTGTATTCTGCTGCTTTAGGATGAAATGCTCTGGATCTATCTGTGAAGTCCATCTGGTCTAGTGTATCATTCAAAGCCCTTGTTTCCTTGTTGATTTCCTGCTTAGATGATCTGTTCATTGTATCAAGTGGGGTGTTAAAGTCCCCTACTATTGTATTATAAATGAGTTTCTTTAATATTGTCATTAATTGATTTATACATTTGGCTGCTCCCTACTTAGGGGCCTAAATATTTACAACTGTTACATCTTCTTGTTGGATGGACCCTTTTGTTATGATATAGTGTCTCTCTTCATCTCTTATTATAGTCTTTGGTTTAAAATCTAGTTGTCTGAAATAAGGATGGCTATTCAACCTTTCTTTTGATGTTCATTAACATGGTAAATGGTTCTCCACCCCCTCACTTTCCATCTGGAGGTGTCTTTGGGTCTAAAATGAGTCACCTGTAAGCAGTATATCAATGGGTCTTGTTTTTTTACCCATTCTGAGACCTATGTCTTTTGATAGGAGCATTTAGCCCATTTATATTCAGAGTAATTATTGAAAGATATGAATTAAGTGCCATTGTATTACCTGTAAAGTCTCTGTTCCTGCAGATTGTCTCTTTTCCTTGTTTGTCTTTGTTACTTTTGGGCTCTCTCTCTGTTCAAAGGGTCCTCTTTAATATTTCTTACAGAGCTGGTTTAGTGTTCACATATTCCTTTAGTTTTTTTGTTTTGGTTTGGTTTTTGGTTTTTGCTTATTTGTTTTGTTTTTGTTTTTGTTTTTGTCTTGGTAACTTTATCTACATCTGTCGTTTCCTGACTTGTTAATTTTAGCCATTCTGACTGGTGTGAGGTGATATCTCATTGAGGTTTTGATTTGGATTTCCCTGATGCCAAGTGATGTTGAGCACTTTTTCATGTGTTTGTTGGCCATTTGGATGTCTTCTTTGCAGAAATGTCTGTTCATATCTTCTGCCCATTTCTTGATTGGATTATTTGTTCTTTGGGTGTTGAGTTTAAGAAGTTCCTTATAGATTTTGGAAACTAGCCCTTTATCTGATATGTCATTTGCAAATATCTTCTCCCATTCTGTCAATTGTCTTTTGGTTTTGTTGACTATTTCTTTTGCTGCGCAAAAGCTTTTTATCTTGATGAGGTCTCAATAGTTCATTTTTGCCCTTGCTTCCCTTGCCTTTGGTGATGTTTCTAGGAAGAAGTTGCTGCGGCTGAGGTCGAAGAGGTTGCTGCCTGTGTTCTCCTTTAGGATTTTGATGGACTCCTGTGTCACATTTAAGTCTTTCAACCATTTGGAGTCTATTTTTGTGTATGGTGTAAGGAAATGGTCCAGTTTCATTCTTCTGCATGTGGCTGTCCAATTTTCCCCACACCATTTGTTGAAGAGACTGTCTTTTTATCATTGGACATTCTTTCCTGCTTTGTCAAAGATTAGTTGACCATAGAGTTGAGGGTCCATTTCTGGGCGCTCTATTCTGTTCCATTGATCTGTGTGTCTGTTTTTGTGCCAGTACCATACTGTCTTGAGGATTACAGCTTTGTAACAGAGCTTTAAGTCTGGAATTGTGATGCCACCAGCTTTGCTTTTCTTTTTCAGCATTCCTCTGGCTCTTCGGGGTCTTTTCTGGTTCCATGATCATGGAACGTTTTTCCATTTCTTTGTGTCTTCCTCAATTTCTTTCATGAGTATTTTATAGTTTTCTGAGTACAGATTCTTTGCCTCTTTGGTTAGATTTATTCCTAGGTATCTTATGGTTTTGGGTGCAATTGTAAATGGGATCGACTCCTTAATTTCTCTTTCTTCTGTCTTGTTGGTGTATAGGAATGCCACTGATTTCTGTGCATTGATTTTATATCCTGCCACTTTACTGAATTCCTGTATGAGTTCTAGCAGTTTTGGGGTGGCATATTTTGGGTTTTCCACATTAAGTATCCTATCATCTGCAAAGAGTGAGAGTTTGACTTCTTCTTTGCTGATTCGGATGTCTTTTATTTGTTGCTGGAGTTCTGCCATTCTCATTGATCGGTAAACTTGGTCTTGGCTGGCTGTTCTTGCTGATCTTCTGGGGAGGGGCCTGTTTTAGTGATTCTCAGATGACATTGCCTGAGGCAGAATTGCATCGCCCTTTCCAGGGGCTGGGCTAAGTAATCTGCTCAGGTTTGCTCTCGGGAGCTTTTGTTCCCTGCAAGCTTTCCGTACAGCTTTGGAGGACAAGTGTGAAATTGGCAGCCTCCCAATCTCTGGCCCCGGAGGAGCCGAGAGCTCGGGGTGCCACTCCTTAGTGAGCCCCCAGAGGAAAGCAGTCAGTCACTCTCATCTCCCCAGGCTCCAGCCGCATTCCATGCTCACCTGGCCTGTGACCAAGCGTTTCTATCTCTGGCACCCGACCCGGTGTGGAGTCTCCAAACCCAGCAGAGTCCTGCAGTGCACTCCCGCGCCGCTCCTCCCAGGGAGGAAGGGGAGTCTCCCCGGATCTGCCACTTATTGGGTACCTGCTGGAAGAACAGTGGCCCGACTATGCCGCGGATCACAATTTATGGCAACCCCGAGCTGAGAACCCGCTCCTCGGCTCCGTCTTTGCAGCCAGCTTCCCCGCTCCGATACCTGGGAGCTCTGCCGCACTCAGGCACCCCCGGTCTCTCTCTGACCCTGAGGGTCCTGAGACCACGCTGTCCCGTGAGGGTCCCACCCCCCGCTTAGCCACTGGAGCAACGTCCCTCAGCGGAGTTGACTTCTAAAAGTTCCGATTTTGCGCTCTGCTGCTCTATCACTTGCCAGTGGTGGCTGACGGAGGCCCCCCCCCCCCCCCCCCCCCCCCCGTCTGTCCTCCCGAATATTGCCTCAGATTCACTTCTCCGCACATCCTACCCTCCAGAAAGTGGTTGCTTTTCTGTTCAGAGTTGCTGCTGTTCTTTTCTTCCATCTCCTGTTGAGTTCGTAGGTGTTCAGAATGGCTTGATCCCTGTCCAGCTGAATTCCTGGGACCAGAGGAAATCCAGGTCTCCTACTCCTCCACCATCTTGCTCCTCCCTCAGTTGTGTGATTTTTTTTCCTTCATTCTTCAATGTGGTATATTGATCAGTTTTCATATATTGGTCCTTTCTTGCATTCTAGGAGTAAACCCACTTGTTCAGGGTGTATAATCCTTTTAATACTTTGCTGAATTCAGTTTGTTAGTATTCTGTTGAGGATTTTTATATTAATGTGCATTAGGAATATTGGTCTACAGGTTTGTTTGTTTAATTTTTTTTCTTGTAGTGTCTTGACCTGGCTTTTGTGTTAAGGTAATGCTAGCCTCACAAAATGAGTTAGGAAGTATTCCCTCCTTTTCAATTTTTGGAAAAGTTTGAGAAATATTAATTCTTTAAATGTCTGGTAGAATTCACCTGTGATGCCATCTGGTCCTGGGCTTTTCTTTGTCAAGAGTTTTTTGATTACTGATTCAATCTCCTTACTAGTCATTGGTCTATTCAGATTTTGTTTCTTCATGACAGTCTTGGTAGGTTTTGTGTTTCTGGAATTTGTCCATTTCACTAGAATATCCAGTTTGTTGGCATACAACTTTTTATAGCACTCTCATTTTTTTTAAAGGATTTATTTATTTATTTATTTGAGGGGGAGAGAGAGCGAGAGAAACAGCATGAGAGGGGAGAGGGTCAGAGGGAGAAGCAGGCTCCCCACTGAGCCGGGAGCCCGATGTGGGACTTGATCCCAGAACTCCGGGATCATGACCTGAGCCAAAGGCAGTCACTTAACCAACTGAGCCACCCAGGCACCCTAGAGCACTCTCTTATAAATCCTTTTTTATTTCTGTAGAATCAGTAGTAATGCTTCACTTTCATTTCTGATTTTAATAATTTGAGTCTCCTCTCTTTTTTTCTTAGTCCATCTAGCTAAAGTTTGGTCAATCTTTGTTGTTCTTTTTAAAGAATCGCTTTTGGTTTCATTGTTTTTTCTGTTGTTTTTCTATTTTCAGTTTTATTCATCTCTGCTCTAATCTTTATTTCCTCTCTTCTGCTAATTATGAGTATAGTTTGTTCTTCTTTTTTTAGTTCCTTAAGTTACAAAGTTAGGTTGATGATTTGAGATCTGTCTTGTCTTGTTAATGTGTTTTTAACTATAAATTTCCCCCTTAGCACTGATTTAGCTGTATCCCATAGGTTTTGATACGCTATAACTTTGTTCAAATTCATCTCTAAGTATTTTCTAATTTCCCTTCTGATTTCTTTGGTCCGTTGGTTATTAAAGATTGTGTTAATTCCCATAGAATTGTGAATTTTCCTGTTTTACTTCTGTTATTGATTTCTACCTTCATTCTGTTGTGGTCAGAGAAGGTACCTTGTATGATATCCATCTTTTAAAATCAGCTGAGACTTGGGATGCCTTGATTTCGGCTCAGGTCATGATCTTAGGGTCCTGGGATCAAGCCCGGCATCAGGCTCCATGCTCAGTGGGGAGTTTGCTTGAGGATTCTCTCACCTCCTCCCCCCCCAGCACACTCGCTCTATCTCTGTCTCTCTCTCAAAATATAAATTTGTAAAATAAAAAAATAAATTGAGACTTAATTTGTGGCCTAACATACAGTCTATCCTGGAAAATGTCCCATGTGCACTGGAGAATGTGTATGCTGTTGTTGGGTAGAGTGTTCTGTAAATGTTAAATCTAGTTGATTTAATTTATTAAGTTCTCTATTTCCTTACTTATCTTCTATCTAGTTGTTCTATCCATTATTGAGAGTGGAATATTGAAGTCTCCAACTATTATTATACAACTGTATGTTTCTCCCTTCAGTTCTCTATTTGCTTTGTATATTTTGATGGTGTGTTAGTAGGTGGATAAATGTGTACAGTTGTTTGGGCATCTATTTTTGGCAGAACATCTAGCAGAATGTTTGGCCTTCAGTAATTATTGCTTTAATCCATTAATAATTTATTAAAAGTTTTTGATAGCAAAAATGATAAAGGCCTAAGTAGAGAAGTTCTATTATTTTCTTAAAGGTGATATAAAGCATAAAATCTGGTAAATTCCTTTTTTAAAAGACTTTCAGAGAATCTGTAGAACCTGCAAACCCTCCCACAAAGAAAATGTGAACAGAGATGGAAGGCAATTTTACTTTGTATTTGTGGCATCACCACCATGATGTTTCATGAAAACAAGCATTGCCATTAGGTTAGTTGAAATTCCCACTGTATTCACTTGTTATTATTTCTTTTCCAAGCAATCAAGTTGAAGAAACATTCCCACTACTTAAAGAGGTACCTGCAAAGTATATTTATTCAACCATCCCAATGGGATTTTCCCTTAGTAAATCTGCTACTCAGGTATCTGCTATGCATATGGATTCAAAAGTGGATGATCATTTGATGCGAGGGACTGAGAAAAGCAAGTTGGAACCAGTGACTCAATTATTTCAAAACACCAAGAAAATAAGATTAGAAGACACAAACGAAGAACACTTTACAAGAAGTAAAGCGATTGGCTCAGGATCTCTTTCAGAGAAAACCTTGGGTTCTGTGGTATATGTTAAAGAAAATGATGGAATGGAAATGACAGATGTGGAATGAAGTTATTTGTACATACTGCCAAAGAAACCAGAATTTGCTTTTAACTAAGAGAGCATGTTGAATGAGAACTTAACCTTATCAGAAAAATCTAACAAAATGAAGGTAGACAATTGCTTATTTTTCACTATTTATGAATCACATTAGACTTCACTTTTTTGATACGTATTCAAAAAAGTTAATGTTTTAGGGGGAAAAAACTTTCCAAAATTCAAAGCAAAATTTTCTGGCATTCTATCCTTGTCAAAAATCAGAATTTTTGAATAACAGTATTTAAATGGTACCAAAATATTTTAATTGTAATGTATTTCTTTAACAAGTGATCAAAAAACAGTGCCCAAACAATTTGACATCTGTATTTCACACTATGTGTGGTATACCAATTTTGTAAGATTTATAGTTTGGAATTTTGCTTTAGGGTATTTTATCTTCCTGCATTTTTGCATTTCTGTTCTGTAAAAGATCACTTCAGGTAAACTCTACAAAAGACCAATAAATTACGTACCTTGAGAAGCATTTCACATTTTAAATCATCCTTTTAAAACTGTTTTCCCCCACAATGAATTCATTTCAAAATTACAAAATAGTTATTTCCAAGTATAATAGTTTATCTTATAGATACTACCATTTTATACTACTAATATTTAATATAAAAAAGCAGCCTATTATTAAAAAAAATTGTTTTATATATATCAGTTTGCCGTTCTTACTGAAATGTCTAGTAGTTTGAGACAGCAGTATTGTCCCAGGTATTGAGAGATGAAATTGAAATCATTTTGTGTCTGGACATATAGTGACCTGTAACTATATTATGTATGTTTTGAACATTTTCCTCTACTTTAATATTTATTGGCTATTTCTAATGCCCAATTGTGAGTAATCTCCATGATATTCATAAAAACAAAGATGAAAAGGCATCTTCTTTTAGGGGAAGCAATATTTTATAAATCAAAAAAATACAAATGTGATATATTTGTAGGGAATATTGAGCTTAGAGCTAAATAAAATTGTTGAATGGGACATAAGCTAGTAGGATGATGCTTTTTATCATTTACAGAACATAATTCTTTGGGAGAGAAAAAAACTCAAGTCTTTCATTTGTTCACCTAACCTGGCACTGTGCTTGTTGCTGGGGATATAGTGGTCAATAAAATAGCCACTGCCATCATAGTGTTTACTGTTTGTCTGCCAGGGAAGATAGAACATCAGACAGTAATTATGTAAGATACAAATTATGATGTGCCGTGAAGAAAAAGTAAAATGTCCAGAAGGACAGGACACATAACACATAAACCTGATTTTTAATTGTGGAACTAGGAAGTTTTCCCTAAGGTCATGTCATTTATAGCTTTTGCAGTGACATAGTTGTCCAAGTAAGATGATGGTAATGGTCAATGTCTTGAGAAGGGGATAGAGTCCTGGTGAAGGTTAGCAGGACAGAATGATGGTTTGAAAGTGAGAAGGAAGGAAAAAGAAAGGAACTCCAGCTAAAAAGGCTATTGCACAGAGGTTCTCTGGGGGAAAAGACTGAACTCAGGAGCATGGTTTTGGCACATAACCCAGTTTCCAAGGCAAGTAGACAGTTATATGTATGTAACTAAAAAATTTTGAAGTAGTATACAGAAATGGTATTGAAAGCCTTGGGAATGAATGAGATTGCTGAAGGTGAATGTATAGTGTGAGCCAAAGTCTTGAGGAACTCAAACATTTAGGAGCTGGTCAGCATGGGGGAGCTAGCAAAGGGAACTGAGGAGTTGGCAGTGAGATAGTAAAAAACTAAGACAAGGTAATGTCAAGACTGCCCACAGTAGTTGTTATGGTGGAGGTAGTCAACTGAAAGGTCAGACAAGGATGGAAAGGTCCATTGGATCTAGCAATATGAAATGTCACAGTAACCTTAGCAAAAACCACTTTCTTTTTTTTTTTTTTTTTTAACAGGGGCTTGGCTCAGATATTTACAGCCTTGTTTTTCATCTCCCTGAATGTCAAACAGAACATTTGATAGTCATGTCGGATGTTGAATTTGAGATGATCTTTCATTGTGCATGATGCCTCCTGCATTGCAGGTTGTGAAATACAGTAGCACACTCCAGTCACTGAGACTATAAAAAATGCAAACATTTATTACCCTCACTGAGAACCATTGCTGCCAAGACAACAGAAAATTGGAATCCCCAAATCCAATCTAAGCCATAATTTTAGCAGCCCACTCAAGAAGGGAAATCCAAAAAGACTTCCTGGAAGAAGGTGGAATGGAACAAGCTTAATAAGGACAATATCCTCACTTAGATGTTTTGGGAGAATTCTATAAGTGGTATCTTAAAGGGGCTACTTTTCAGAGTTCTCTTGTTTCTAATAAGAGCAAATTCCCCATATAAAAAGGTGTAGTTCAGCAGAAATAAGGATGTTAGGAGACTTTAAATCCAACATATCCATAAAATAAGGTATCTAAACCTATTATACATGCATTGGTGTTGTCATGGATGCTAATAATAAAAGCTTTCATTTATTGAGCTAGTGTGTGACTATCTTAATTGGGACTCCCTAGAAGCTGCCTGAGACAGGGATTCAGGTGCACATGATTTTTAAGAGTGTACTCTTTAGGAAAAGGGAGTGAAGGAAGCAAGACAGAGAGAAACAAGAGGAGTCAGCTAAGGATGAGAGCTCAAATAAATTCTTGGTCTGATCCACAGGGTGCCCTGGAAGGATCAGATAGCACAGTTGTCCCATTACTCACTTTGAGGCAAAGGGGGGGATTATTGTACCCCCTATCAGTCTGGCCTTGGTTGCCACCAGAAAGCCGAAGAGGGAGCTGGAGGAGCACGGAGGTAGCATGAATCACTCAGGTGTTTCTGGGCACAACAGCTCCTAGCTCACAGCAGCTGAAAACAGATGCATGGACTAAGGGGTAAAGGGAACATGGGTAGGGCACTAACAGTCTTTATTACAGTGTCAGACACCTAACATATATTATTTTCCTTTTATTTTGAAACAAGGTCAAATTTACAGAAAAGTTGCTAGTACAAAGGCCCTTCCCTCTCCCCACAACCATTTGAGAATAAGTAGCTGAACTCATTCATCAGCCCTGAACACTTTAATGATTTAAAGAATTTTATTTATTCTTTTTTTCTATTTTTAACGGAAATATAATTGACATAGGACACTGTATTAGTTTTAGGTGTACAACATAATGATTTTATATATGTAGACACTGCAAAACAACACAATAAGTTAACATCCATCACCACACAGTTACAATTTTTTTCTGTGATGAGAATTTTTAGATCTACTCTCAGCACCTTTTAAATATATAAGACAATATTGTTTTTTTAAATGTCTTTTTTTTTTTAAGATTTTATTTATTTGACAGAAAGACACAGCGAGAAAGGGAACACAAGCAGGGGGGAGTGGGAGAGGGAGAAGCAGGCTTCCCACAGAGCAGGGAGCCTGATGCGGGGCTCGATCCCAGCACCCTGGGACCATGACCTGAGCCGAAGGCAGATGCTTAACAACTGAGCCACCCAGGCGCCCCGACAATATTGTTAAATGTAGACACCATGCTGCTGTACATTAGATTCCCCAAGACTTATCTTTTTTTTTTTTAAAGATTTTATTCATTTGAGACATATATATAGAGAGAGAGCACGAGCAGGGGGAGAGGCAGAAGCAGTCTCCCTGCTGAGCCAGGAGCCCGATGTGGGGCTCAATCCCAGGACCCTAGGATCATGACCCGAGCCGAAGGCACACACTCAACCATCTGAGCCACCCAGGCGTCCCCAGAACTCATTTATCTTATAACTGCAAGTTTATACCTTTGACCACGTTGACTCATTTCACCCTCACCCCTCCAAAAGCACTCTTGATGGAATGGGGACAGAAGAAATGTTGGAGTAGGCTGATTATGAATGGGAAGTAAGGAAGTAGATACTGGATACGTGGAGCAAATTCTTGAAGAAGCTCTGCTCTAAAAGGAAGTAGGCGGGTTATGATGAGTCAGAGTTCATGTCTGAGTGTCAGTGGAAGAAGGTACCAGTGGAGACGGTGAAGTAGGAGAGGGGTTAAGAATAACCAAAGGACAGGGCGCCTGAGTGGCTCAGTCATTAAGCATCTGCCTTTGGCTCAGGTAGTGATCCCAAGGTCCTGGGACCGGGCCTCACATCAGGCTCCCTGCTAAGTGGGGAGCCTGCTCCTCCCTCTCCCACTCCCCCTGCTTGTGTTCCCTCTCTCGCTGTGTCTGTCAAATAAATAAATAAAATCTTAAAAGAAAAAACAACCAAAGGACAAAAGTCTTAGAGCAGGAAGGAGGGAATGGGATTCTTGAAAACCAACTCAGTAGAAAATAGGGCGAAAAAACTACCATCTCAGATTTCAGAGAAATGAAATTTAGGAAGACAGAATATAAGCAAAGGGAAACACTTTTGTGCGGCTATTTTTAATAACTAGGAAAATGCCTACTGGGGCTAACTCTGTACACAATTCATTCCATCTGCATAACACAAGAAAGGAACTCAGAGTGACTTCAATCAAAAGGGTAATGGTAAATGAGCCACTGTGTCTTTATTGTTGCTTTTTATGGAGCCCTGCTCAGCGTCACCAAATTGTGAACACTGGATGCTTCTTATTCCAAGATGCAAGTCTTGGTGGTTTCTATTCGAACAGAAAAATTCATTTCTGTGAAAGATTGAAAAAGATGACTACAAATTATTTGGGCTCCTCTCATCAAGAGGTCGAGTCCACTGCTCCACCCTTTATCTCTGGCCTGCCTTTGCTTGTTGCTTTGGCCAACAGAATGTGGTTGCAGTGCCTCTTTTCCAAGGCTAGACCTGAATTGAGGTGCCCCAGCAGCCAACTGCCAAGAGTATGAACAGGGCCATCCTGGACCTTCCAGCTCAGCCAACCCTGGTTGAATAAAGCTCGGGTGAAACCATATCAATGTTAAAAATAAATCGTTTTAAGCCGCTGATGTTTGAGGCAGTTTGTTATGCGGCGATAGTTCACTGAAACTTTGGCTTGCTGGAGGAATTGCCCCCATCTGGCTGAGCCCAGAGTATTTTCTTGCCAACCGCAGATGGGTAACATTCATTAGCCTGAGGGGGTGTGTTTTCTGACCCACTCCTTCCTACCAGTTTCTCTCTCTCTACTGGGAATAGCGGCGTTTATTCTTTTAAATGCAATTTGTCTCTTAAAACTGACTTTATAGTTTCCTCAGCTTCCAGGTGGAGTTCGGTGCCCTTTGACCTATGAGGAGATGCGTAAAGACCTGGTGCAATGCCTCAAGTTCAGTGGGTGTTTGCTGGTTGGTGCTCGGGCCTGGCTGGGCCTGGGAGCTGACTGCCCTGGCTTCCCAGCGCCTTCCCCATGGCCTCGCTCTGCGAGTGCCCCCCCCTCCCCGCCCCAGCCGGACACAGCCGCCTCCCCTACCTTCGCCCCGGGTGACCGTTAGCTCTGCGCTGTCACGCGGGGACTTCCATCTGAACGGGGGCGCTAGGACTTTCCACACTAGTATTGCAACGTGCCCTGCGTCCCCGCCTCGACTCTGGCTTGGCGCCGACTGGGCGGCTCCGAAGGCCGCTCGGGAACCCCGAGCGCAGGCCAGCGGCGAAGAGCGGGGCCGGAGGACGCCCCCGCCCCGGGCGCCCCCCCCCCGCCCAACCCCGGCGCGGCCCCGCCTCCTCTCGGCGTTTCCGGCTGGCCTCGCTAGCAGCTTGCAGGCCGTGGGGTCACACGCGTCCTTCTCCCGCACGGGCCCGCGCGCGGCCCTGGGCGCGACCGGAAGCAGCGTGGGCGAAGCTGGGAGCGGGGCTCGCGGGGCGCTGCGGCGGGCGGCCCTTTGCGGGGGACGGGGAACTGAGACCCTGAGGCCGGGCCCCGCGCGTGCACCGCCCCGGGCCGCCGCTGCCGGTGCTGTTTTACTCGGCACTTGGGAGGACCTAACTCCTCGCTTAGGTACGGCCTAGCCCCAACATAGGAGGGTAAAAAACTCAAACGTGTTGGTGCCAGCTCTGTGCGTTCCCACAGGGAGCCAAGAAGGCGAAATAAAACAAGCACATGACCATTGCGAGACTCTGGGTAAGTTACGTACTGTCAAAGATGGGGCAGAATAACTTAAAAAGGTGTTTAGAAGGAGCTGGGCCTACCTGGGAGGATAGATAGGATTGTTATTTTTTGCTTTCTTTTCGGTAGTGAAGAAGCATGTTTGGCAATGCAAAGTGGGAGCACAGTGTCCCCCTAGAACAGGGATTGTTCTCTTCAGATCGCATAAAATCAGTCATTGAAAGGTGAGAGTAGTCACATGCAGAGTTGATTTAAAGAAAGAGCATTTCGCCAGGCCTTCAAGGCTGGACCATATCCTGACAATTAAAGAAAGGCTATCATTCAGCCGGAGGTCTGATCTGTTACTGAAGGACTGAAAGAGAGATGCATCTGTCCCAGATTAATCCAAGCCTTCTCTAGGAAAGGGAGGGTATCCTGGCTTTAACAGGATCTTTCAGAAGGTGGTTTCGCCAAGGCTCATCCCATCAGACATTGAAGTCCCTATAACTCAGTCCTTTTGTTCAGGTTCTGTCTTCACCAGGCAAAGTTGTGATAAGTTGGCTTATCAGTAGTCCTATACAGAGTATTTGAACAGGCTGATCTGAACATCCAGTTGATCGCCTTCAGTTCTCTTTGTAATGAATTGGCACTTGGGTTTTTTCCACCATCCTTTTGTTTCCTCATTCTTTGGGTTATTCTTTCTCATCCTTTAGGGCTCAGTTGAAATGTTACATCCTCACAGGGGCCTTTTTGTTTATGTATTCGGGTGTCTAGAACAGTTTCTAGCACATGGTAGGTTCTCAGCCTAACTCACTGAGCTCTCTTGGTCTTTGCTCAAATGTCACCTTTTTAATGAAGCCTAGCCTGACAACCCTATTTAGAATCACAGCGTAGTTCCTCTCACACTTGTATTTCCAATTCCCTCTTTCCCAGCTCTACTTTTTCATGTAGTCCTTATCATTTTTCTTATTTGGTTCACTGATAAATCAATCCGAAGTGCCTAGAATAATGCCTGTCATGTAGTGGATGCAAGATTTGTTGAATTAATACCTTTGCTGTATTTCATTCACAGTGCATACACAATGCATGGATGAATAGAGATATTTCTATTTTGTGCACTAATACATAAATTGGATCAATTCTGGAACCCTAACAAGTTGCATTTTTGACCAAAGTCAGTATCTTTCACTATTGTTAATTTATTAAAATAAATGGCACCTTAATGTGTCTTAGTTGGGGATCTTTGCACGCTTTCCTATTTAAGCTCCTGTTGGGAATACGTGTCATATGACAGGAATGGTATGAGAAGAATAGAGATGGGAAGGTAGGAACTCTATTATAGAGCATTTCAGTTTGCCAGGCATGCATGCTTTATGCATGTTAATTCATTTAATTTTCTCAACCATTTTGTGAGGTAGGAACATTTTATAAATGAGACAATTGAAGCAGCCAGAGGTTAAACTACTTGCCTTAGGTTATTGAGTTAGCAAGTGGCAGAGCCAGAATTAATAGTTAAGTTCTGTAAGTGACTCTAGTTAAAAATACTGTATTGCATATTTGAAAATTGCTCAGAAAGTAGATCTTAAAAATTCTCACCACATGGAAAAAATTTGTAACTGTGAGGTGTTGGATGTTAATTAAACTTACTGTGATAATCATTTTTCAGTATATACATACATCAAATCATTATGTTGTACACTTTAATACAATGTTATATGTCAGTTATATCTCAGGAAAATGAGGGGGAAAAACTGTAAGTTCTTAATCACTTTGCATCCTGCCACACTCTTCATATGCAGACAAGGAGGGATATATCACAAGGTCTTTGAGAATCTCCAGATCCACAGACATCGGGCAGCGTATCATGGTCCACCACCCCTGTTCCTTACTGTTTCTCTCTTGGATCATAGTGGAAGAGTTTCCTGTTTGCTTGTTCAAGGCTGCCTCCTTCCCTGCCTGAATTAGATCCCAGCACTACCCCTTTGTCAGAGACCTTCTCCCTTCACCAGCGTTGCCCTCCCTCCCTCCCTGACTCCCGGCAGAATCTGAACGTGTTCAGTTCTCTTGCATCAATGTCTGCTACCCTAGTCCAGGTCCTCATTGTCTCTAGCTTGGACAGTTGCATTAGTCTATTAACCGGTCTCCCTGCCCCTAGTCTATCTTTCCTTTAATCCATGCTGAACACTGTCTGCAGAGGCAGTTCTGTATGATGGCTAACTTAACGCTTGTCTGCTTAAAACACTTCAATAGATCCCAGCTGCTTTTAGAAAAACTCCAAATGTTTTAGAATTACATGAATCTGTCTCCTCCCCTTCTCTATTTCTTTACAATCTTTGGCTAGTAGGCACTCCATAAGTATTTGTCCAATGAAGGACTATATCAGAGTCAGTCACACAGAGCCAAGAACAGAGTTTAAACAAAGCAATTCAGTGGGGCTGCAGAAGCTTCCTAGGACAGCATAGCCATAGGTTTCAGTGGAGCTAGGAGACCAATAGTGTAACTTCATCCCTGAGGAGGGAGTCTCCAAAACAGGCCTTACTATTAGATGACTGTCTTTGTGTATGCCTGGAATATGCTACCCCCATCAATTTGGTAAAGACCATCATATTTTGAGACTCAATTCAAGTATCCCTCTATTAAAGCCTCTCCTGACCTTTCTAGACAGAGAAAATATAAATTGGCTTAACTTTTCTGTAGTGTAATTTATCAAAATGTATCAAGAGTGATGAAAATATGAAGACTCTCTTATTTGTGCTTGTAGGACATGACATAACTACAAAAGATTTTGGCCGAGTTTTGGACTTTAATAACCCATTTTATCCCAGTTCTTTAACCTAAAGAAAAATGAGCATCCTAAGAAAGAGAATTGAAATAGAGTGGTTTCTTTACAAACATAACTAGTCAAAATACTTGATTACTTTGGCTAGTATTCATCCTGTTGCCATCAGCACTGCTAACAAAAATAACGTGTAAAGTGTCCAAACATAATGAAATTGTACATAGCCTTTCCGTATAACCCTGCTACTCTGCCCCTTCCCCTAACCTCAGGTTTAATTATTTAACCTAATTAAATATTGATCTAAATAAAAGAATTATACTGCTGGTAAATCAAATCTCAAAGTCAAATGGGAATTATTTTTTTAAGTATTTTAAGGACATAATTAAAGCTTTCCACAGAGATATTCATGAATACATTGTTGATAACACTAAAAAACTAGAAACCACCTAAAATTACAAACTAAGAGACTGATTTGGTAGTAAACTGTGGTATATCTGACAATGAAATATTATACATTAAAGCTGATGTAAAAATAGATTTAACATTGAATGAAATAACAGTATGGTTCCAATTTGGAGTGGGGGAGGGATGTGTGTGTTTACGCATGCACAGAAAAAAATGAGTACACACCAAAGTGTGAATTTTGGTTATCTCCAGGGGGTGGTATTATGGATTCTTTTATTTTGTTCTTTTTACTTATATGTATTTTCTCATTTTTTTAAATGAACATGTATTACCTGTGAATTCAAGATAATTTGCTTGGCTTTGAGATATATTAAATAATGAATTTACAGATTTATTGTTTGAAAAATCTGTGCCCTTACTCCGTTTCAACTGAAATTGAGGTTTGTCTTTATTTCCATTGAGTATTCTGTTACAGAGTTGCTAAAGACTAAGGATAAAGCTGGACAAGAAGCAACTGGATACTTGGAAAAGTTGACCTAAAATAACCAAGAATCAATAGCTAGAAAGTAAAATTTAATTTTCTTTTTCCCAATTAATTTGTCTTCCATTTTTATTTATTTATTATTTTTAAAGATTTTATTTATTTATTTGACAGAGAGAGAGAGAACAAGTAGGGGGAGCAGCAGAGGGAGAGGGAGAAGCAGACTCCCCGCTGAGCAGGGAGCCCGATGTGGGACTCAATCCCAGGACCCCAGGATCATGACCTGAGCCAAAGGCAGACGCTTAACCGACTGAGCCACCCAGGCGCCCCAGTCTTCTATTTTTAAAAGCATGCTGATCCCATTTTCAATGAAGAATTGCTTCCAGTTACTTTGTAACCTCAAGGCCCCAGCAGCTGGCTTTAAGAACAGAGTAAAAAGTGGGCTCATTTTACAGTCAATTTCCAGTGATGTTTATCAAAATCTGGCTGTAGAAGACTGGATCCATGACCATATGAATCTAGAAGGCAAGCCGGTTCTTTTCTTGTGGAGAAATTCTCCCTCTATTGTAATAGGTAGGCATCAGAATCCTTGGCAGGAATGCAACCTGAATCTGATGAGAGAAGAAGGTATAAAACTGGCTCGGAGAAGAAGTGGAGGAGGAACAGTCTACCATGATATGGGTAATATCAATTTGACTTTTTTTACAACCAAAAAAAAGTATGATAGAATGCAGAACCTAAAATTAGTTGTGAGGGCTCTGAATGCTGTCCAACCCCAGCTGGATGTACAGACCACCAAAAGATGTGACCTTTTACTGGATGGACAATTTAAAATCTCAGGAACAGCTTCTAAGATTGGCCGGACTACTGCTTATCACCACTGCACTTTATTATGTAGTACCAATAGAACCTTCTTGTCGTCTTTGCTGAAGAGCCCTTACCAAGGAATCAGGAGCAATGCCACTGCTAGCATACCTTCCATAGTAAAAAATCTTCTGGAAAAAGATCCCACTCTGACCTGTGAAGTACTCATGAATGCTATTGCGACAGAGTATGCTGCTTATCATCAAATTGATAATCATATCAACCTAATAAACCCAACAGATGAGACACTGTTTCCTGGAATAAATAACAAAGCCACGGAACTACAGACCTGGGAGTGGATATATGGCAAAACTCCAAAGTTTAGTATAAACACTTCCTTTAATGTATTATATGAACAGTCGCATTTGGAAATTAAAATATTCATAGGCATAAAGGGTGGAAGGATTGAAATCTGTAATATTGAAGCACCTGATCATTGGTTGCCACTGGAAATATGTGACAAATTAAATTCAAGTTTTATTGGCAGTAAGTTTTGCCCAAATGAAATTACTATGCTAACAAATATTTTACATAGAACATGTCCAGAAGATGATGAACTACACAGTAAATGGAATATTCTCTGTGAAAAAATTAAGGGAATAATGTGATTCCAAATAAATTTCTTAAGTTCTTATGAGATAATAAAATGTTCAAAGTACATTGTCTTTTTTTTTTTTTTTTTTTTTTTTTTTTTTTTTAGTAATCTCTACACCCAACATGGGGCTTGAATTCACAACCCTGAGATCAAGAGATCAAGTCATATGCTCTACCAACTGAGCCAGCCAGGCATCCTCATCATTTGTTTTTTTAAAAAAGACCTAGCCTCTTTCAGTAACTGTTCCGCATTAGAAATTGTCACCTAGTCCATAGTTTCTTATGGCCTGTAGGATACTCTCTTCTATGATTTTTTTTTTAATCTAGCACACATATATCTACTCCTTTCTCTGTTACCATCATGGGGGTGTATATGATATTCAACACTGTGATCTCTGAGTTAGTTCTTTTTCTTACCTCTAAGGAATATAACCCAGGCTTCTTGTCACCTCTGATACCTTCAGCTCTAAAATTCTTCCTTTTAACTATACAGTTGACCCTTGAATAGTGGGTTTGAACTGGATGGTTTCAATTATATGAAGATGTTTTACAGTGCTATAAATGTATTTTCTCTTACAATTTTTAAGTAACATTTTTTCTAGCTTTACTGTAAGAATACAGTATATAATGCATACAAAATATGTCTTGATGATTACTAGTGAAGCTTCTGGTCAACAGGCTACTAGTTAAGTTTTTGGGGAGTCAAAAGTTACATGTGGATTTTCAACTGTGCCATGGTCAGCACCTCTAACCCCCACATTATTTGTCAGCTGAACTTTCTTATCGACCATCCTCTCCTGTTAAATTAACCCATTACACTTTTCTAAGCCCTTAACCCTCCAAATCTCTTGCTTCATCTCCCTTCCTATCCATCCCTGAATTCTTTCAAGTATACTGTCTTATCTTACAGCATTCTCATTTGCTTTTCTCTCTTGACCTATAATGGCCATTGTTTTATTATTATTCCATCAGCTGATTTTTTACTCCTATCATACCCAGATGGCAGGCAATGCTGGAAGAAAATTCACATAATCATGCAGATTAACCCAATTTCATATTTATATTTATCCCCTATTCGTGTCAGATTCAGTTCCTCTCCATTGACTCCCTCATTCTTCAGAGGCCTTATTCATAAATGTTTCCACTTTTCTTAAACTCAGAACTCCACTTCTCTTGTCACAAACCTTGACTCATAATTTGACAGTGGAGGCCTTCATAAATGAGGTCCTGCAGCACCCTATTTCCTCTCAACATTTCTCATTCATTCTCAACACCTTTTCCTTAGGGCTAGTTGTACCTGGATCTTTGTCCTTTCCAACCTGTTTGGGCCTTCTACTATTAAATACTTATCTTTTTTATCTTACATTTTCTCTCTCCACTTACTGGATCCTTACACATAGCGAATGAACATGTTCACGTCTCTTCTTTCCCCAGAACCCCTGCCTAAGGTTTTGTTGTGTCTCTACATCTCTTCATCGCCAGATTTCTTGAAGGAGTAACATCACTGCCAACCACTTCGTGTCTCTGCAGTTCATTCACATACTCCTCTGATTTCTACGGTATTTACTGTGTATTTTTTGAATGCCTACTATGTGCCAGGTACTTTGTAGTTGGATGTTCATGGTGAATGAAAGAGGCTTACTGACCTCAGGAATTGACAGTTTAGTGTACTGGCTTTTGAATTCCTTAAAAACTTAGAGTAAAAAAATATATTTTATATTATATATTAGCACAGATATTATCTATACCTAACAAGTTTTACAATGCAACGTTTATCCTATACTATTTACTTATTTGACATTTTATATTTGATTTTATTTCATCTTTTAAAAATTATTCTAACACCCATTAATAGTTGGTCAAGACCGGAGTTTAAGACACAGGAGCCTAACAGGAAATGTGGACAGTCAGTATATAATTATAAAGCAAGAAAAGCCTGGGTAGTTCTAACAGACAATAGTAGGGGCTGCCTCGCTAGAGCTGTCAGGGAGCGGACATTGGAGACTTGAAGAATGAGAAGAAAGCAGCCAAGCAAAGTGGAGTGGGGAGGAGAGTATTCCCAGTTTTGTCAGTTATTTATTGCCTCCTAACAAACCACTCCAAAACTTAGTGGCTTAAAACAACATTTATTTTATTCACAAATCTACAATTTGAGCTTTGATGGGGATAGCACATATGATCCAGTGGCATTGGCTAGGACAGCTTAAAGAGCTGAAATACCTGCTTCAAGATGGCTCACATGGCTGGCAAGTTGGTGCTGGCAGTTGGCTGGGAGCTCAGCTGGAGCTATGGGTTGAGGGCTTCAATTCCTTTCCCCCTGGGCCTAATCAAGGCTGCCTGAACTTCCTCACAGCATGGTAGCTGTATTCCCAGAACAAGTGACTCCAGAAAGCCCAAGAGAAACTATTTCCTTTTATACCTTGTCTTGGAAGCAACTTATATAGTCACACGTGCATCCAAATCCAAGAGGAGAGAACATCAATAGCCACCTCTCTACGGGAGGAATGTCAAAGTCATAAAAATTACCCTTATTGCAACCATTTTTATACAGTACACTCTACCACCCAACAGCATACAGGAACCCCTAAAGCAAGTAAAAGCTAGGGTTGTTGATGGTGTCAAAGGAAGTATAAGCAAACTGAAGTGTGGGAACAAGGGGAGAATGGAGCAAGATGAGGACAGAGAGAAGAGACCAGATCATGTAGGGACGACAGCCCAAGGTAGGCCTAGATCTTATTTTAAGTGCAATGACACTGCAGTTGTTATATTCTGTCTGCTCTGTGGAGATTGGATTGGAGGGAGAGAAAACAGGAAGCAGAAAGCCATTTGGGAGACTACTGCAGGAATCCCAGCACAGCTAATACTGGCAGTAGCCATGAAAAGATGCTGACATTGTGTTAAGCCCTTGTCAAAAATTAAGGATGATTTCCATTTTCAGGACAAGGTTTAATTCTGATTCCTTTTAAAAAAGGGAAACAAAGCAGTATATATTATTTTGCTAGGGCTGCCATAATAAAATACCACAGATCAGGTGGCTTAAACAATAAAAATATATTTTCTCACAGTTCGGGAGGCCAGGAAGTCCATGATCAAAGTGCTGGTGGGTTTGGTGTCTCCTGGGGCCTCTCTTCTTGGCCTGCAGATAGCTGCCTTCTTGCTGTATGCTCACATGGTCTTTCTGTTATTGGACAGAGGACCAGTTCCAAACTCGCCGTTTGAAAGCCAATACTCAAGAGACAAGTGTTGGTGGGAAAGGAAAGGTTGCTTTATTGAGGAAGTTGGCAACCTGGAAAAATGGCAGATTAACGTCTCAAATACCCATCTTCCCTGTTCAGGGGAAACAGATTTTTAAAAGGGAAGGTGCAGGAAATGGTGAGGGGGCTATGTGCAGAAGTTGGTGCTTAGCAGTTAATCTGTCCTCAAAAAATCTTTCAGAATCCTCTGCTACCAATAATCAAGGCTCCTAGGTGGTCTCTCAGTAAAGGATGCCCCTGCAGCCCGACAAGCCACGTCCTGCCAAGGCAGTCCAGGCTCTTCCCCCTGTACCAGGAATGAAGGCTCCCAGAGTCTCTTACTGAGGATGCCATGGTCAGTGGAAGCTGTTTTTGAGTGTGGTCAGGCCTTATCTTCTGGAAAGTCTTGTTCTTTGTTCCTCAAGGCTAGCAGTCTGCAGGATCTCAAGGGAAGTAGGTTAGTACTGCTACAAACTGGGATTTAGGTCCGCAAGCAAGGAGTGAATAAGCTTGAAGCACATTAACCCTTAAGACCAATTCGGGTGCTGTTACATTTCCTCTGAGTATGCATACCTGTGTCAAATTTTCCACTTCTTATAAGGACACCAATTTTACTGGATTAGGGTCTTCTCTAAAGACATCATTTTAACTTTATAACTCTTTGAAGACCTTACCTCCAAATACAGTTAGATTCTGAGGTATTGGGGGTTAGGATTTTAACATGTGAATTTAGCTCTTATGAGCTCTTTTCTTTTCATGTAACTGAGTGGATCCACATCTCATCCCCTTTTTTATGAAGAAGGGGAGAGGCAGGGGGCGCCTGGGTGGCTCAGTCATTGAGCGTCTGCCTTCGGCTCAGGTCATGATCCCAGGGTCCTGGGATCGAGACCCACATCAGGCTCCCTGCTTAGTCGGAAGCCAGCTCCTCCCTCTCCCACTGCTTGTGTTCCCTCTCTCGCTGTCTCTCTCTGTCAAATAAATGAATAAAATCTTAAAAAAAAAGAGGGGGGAAGAGGCAGGAGTGGACACATGGGGTTTTGCCTGCAACTGGTTCCCTCAGTGTGGGAGCGGAGTAAGTGAAAGGGATTTTACTTTTCAAGTGGCTCTGGGGACAAACACAATTGGCAGTCTAACCATTTTTCATTTGAGTCAGGTTTCATAGGCAGGTCCTTCTGTTCTTTTCCAGCAATATTAAACAGCAAATAAACAATTTTGAAGAGATTTCTCATAGGCATATTTTTTATGCACTACATTTGCTGCAACGTGTGGAAGTTACTTTCCAAGAAAGGCATAAAAATCCTGATATGATGTGCTTTGGGGCAACAAAGCACTCATGATTTTCTGATACCATTTGTTTCTCAAGAGCGAGAATATCATCAGGTGAAAGGTGTTAAGGGCTTCAAGATTCAAAAGGGAAATTTAACAAGCATCACCTGGAAAGAAAAGGCATGTTTTGCAGCTACAGTCCACAGAATTTTCTGATTGTTTCCATATGAGGATAAAGGAGATGAAGAATCAAGAACAACTCCTAGATTTCTTATTTGAGCAATTGGATGGACGGGAGTAAACACAGGGAGTGGGGGAGTGTGTTTCCAAAGTTCAGTTGCAGCATCCTACATTTTGAAATGACTATGTGCTTCTGAAATGCCAGAGGAAATGCCAAATAGGCAGCTAAATATATGAAATCATAGCTCCAAGGAAAAGTTTTGGCTTAATTTATATATTTAGGAGTTGACAGCATATACATACTATTTTAAGTCATGAAAATGGGTAATTGGGAACTTTTATAATTCATTTTATAACTTTTATAATTCATCTTACAGCATAAAGTATTTAGCACCTGAGTCCCCTCACTCTTTGGGGGATTCTCCAACTTAAAAAAACCTTGCTGCAAGACAGAACCCACCTGTTGGAGAGGTCATCAAGAGGATGTGACTGCCAGTTGACCCTTAAACTGGATATGGGCAATCGAAGGCCCTTTACACCCTTCCCTGTCCTTAGAATGTGTGTTCTGCCCACTGCTCCCACAGCAGGAGCCACTTCAAGGACTCAGCCTTGAGAGAGTACTTTGTTACTGAGACTATCTGGATTGTATATGTGACTTGAATCCCATCAAGGCCTCCAGGAACTCTTGAGATTCTGCAGGGATGTGCGGAGATTACTTATCTTGTAGCCACCCTAGACAAGCCTCATATGTAAGTTTCGTTGCTTGTTAAACCCCATCTACCAAGTGGCCTGCCTCTTTCTTCAGTCCCTCCTTGCCCTGAGTGTACGGAGGCCAGTTTTGAATTTCACCTGGGGAACTCCAGAAATGGCAAACCAACAACACTCCTCTCTATGGAAACTGAAATTTTCACTGTACTCCTTTCCTAGTGTCTCTCGAATCTAGGGTGAGGGCACATGACTTAGGCTCTGTCAATCAGATATACTTGCTTCAGACCCTGAATGGATCATGATGAAGTGAACCTGGGATGGTGAAAACCCTTCTCTGGCAGTTGTACCAGGGTCTGAATTTCTGGGGTAGCAAGGTGCTAAGAGTGGCAGTATAGTGCCCAATAATTTAAGTGACAGAAGTGGTAATAAGGCTACTGAGTTCAGGCCTTGCCTTGGGGTCAGCAGTGGTATCATCTGATTGGTTCTGTGTTGTGAATCTAGATATGGCTTTTTTCATTGCAGAACTTCCAAGGCCAAGTCTGTACCTCTTGTGGTGATGGTATGAACTACCCACTATCTTTACAATCTCTTTTTTGCTTACATCAGGTAAGAGCAGTTTCTGTTGCTTTTCACTAAGAAATTACTGGTATAATCACTTGGGGGAGAGTGTACATTAAAAAAAACAAAAAGAGGTTACTACTTAGTATCTAATTTAGGAGAATGCCAATACTTAAAAGACAGGGTGGAGGAGAAGGAAAGTATGTTTCACGGAATTTGAGAGCTTTAAGAAGGGAGTGGCGAGGGGCGCCTGGGTGGCTCAGTCGTTAAACGTCTGCCTTCAGCTCAGGTCATGATCCCAGGGTCCTGGGATCGAGCCCTGCATCAGGCTCCCTGCTCCACGGGAAGCCTGCTTCTCCCTCTCCCACTCCCCCTGCTTGTGTTCCTGCTCTCACTGTGTCTCTCTCTGTCAAATAAATAAACAAAATCTTTAAGAAAAAAAGAAGAAGGGAGTGGCCAACTGGGTCAATTACTCCTGAAAGATCAAGTAATATAAAGGGATATGGTAATAATGGAAGTCATTGTTGACCTTGACAAGAGCGATTTCAGTGGAGTGACTGGGTAGCCTGGTTGAAGTGAGCTGAAGTATTAATGGGTGGTAAGGAAATGGGAAAAAATTGTATAGAGAACTTCAAGAACAAAGAAATAGGGTGGGTGGTATCTGGCTGGGAATGTCTGTACTGGCAGAAACAAATGCAGCAGAGAGGGAGAGATCGCTAAAAGGACAAAGTCCTTGGTGAGGCTAACAGAGGCAAGATTGAGTTCACTTCCTAAAAATTTGGCTATCTTCCTTATATATTAGTACTATTAACCCTTTCTCTATATGCTATAAATTTGATGTCATGTTAACTTTTTATGGTTCTCTCTACTCAAGTTTTCAATATTTACAGGATCAAATCTTTTGCCTTTTCCTTTCCTTGATAATTCCTGGGTTTTGTGTTATACTGAGTACACTTAGTGGAGCTTTAAAAAAATTTTTTTTTCATTTAATTAGCTCTTTAACAGAATAACCTCTATGTGGGATAGAGATCTAATGTTTTTTCCAAACATTTATTGAATAGTCTACTCTTTCCCCACTAATATGAACCATATCTTTGTTGTGCATTAAGGACCCATACACACATTTACTTTCTCTCTTAGGTGTTTCCAGGCTCCTTATTCTACCCCACTGATTTGTCCATTCTTATGCCCATACATTAAAAATATATATAGTAACTTTATGTCTTTATAGCTGGTCAAGCAAGTCTCCTAGTGTTAATCTTTGTCATTTAATTTATAAATTAACTTAGGGAGAGATGACATCTTATGTAAGCCTTCCCATTCAAGAATATAATTTGTCTTCCTAGTTTTCTTTTACATTTTTCCATAAAGTTTATAGTTTTCTCATACAGTTCTTGCACATTTCTTGATGTATTTATTTTTTTATTTTTATTTTTTTAAAGATTTTATTTATTTATTTGACAGAGAGAGACACAGCGAGAGAGGGGACACAAGCGGGGAGTGGGAGAGGGAGAAGCAGGCCCCCCGCGGAGCAGGGAGCCCGATGCGGGGCTCGATCCCAGGACCCTGGGATCATGACCTGAGCCGAAGGCAGACGCTTAACGACTGAGCCACCCAGGCACCCCTCTTGATGTATTTAATAAGTAAATTGCATATGGTAGTCTTCTGATGTTCTAATTGGATCTGGGATAGATTTCAAATACCTAGAATAATAGATAGCATTATTGCTTTATCCACTATTATAAATAATGGATGGACGCTCTTCCTTAAATATCAGTATTTCTTAGGCAGGATTCCTATGTTGGTTGGATAAAAGTTAATTTCATAGGGTTGTGAAATGCTGAATCTCTATAGTGATAGATTCACATGCTCTAGAAGAAATCAGAGTGGTTACTTTTAACATGAAAAGAAGGAGGTCTAATACATGTTCTCACCTGAATGAAAAGCCACTCTGCTTCCACATGCTGATAGGTACCTGGCAAAATAATCTACGATACTTTGCAGAAAGTAACTTCTGATTAGGTCCAACACTTGCTTTCCTGAGACCCTGAATTTCCATATAATAAAGCTTGGCAAACTGGCTTGGGTCTTTTCAGGTTCAGCATTATCAGCACCTGAACCTGAAAACATTAAAGAAAAACATTAGGAACTTTTCTGGAATCCTTTCTTGGTCTTTTATGCCAACTCAGTCAGGTGACTGCTGGCTCCCGGAGGTAAAACATAAACCTGGTGTCCAAGTCACCCAAGGACCACTCTACCCGACCTTATTCCTGTGGCTTCTACCGGCTTTGGTCCTCCATACTATTTAATCTTAAATGTAATCTTCAGTCTTCTCCAGATGAGATGTTTAGATGTGTATTCCTCAACACGAGTACTTCTGTTTCCCTCCATAGACTGGCTTAGCTTATTCTTTAAGCTTCTGGACTGCCCATTACTTCTACCTTTATCCCCAATCCCAACCTATCTCCACAGAACCTAGTCTTCATCCCCAACCTGTCAACTGGCGTCTGGATGGATGAGCTTATCCAGAACAGTTGATCCTAAGCTGCAAAGCTTTACAAATGTGCCAGCCAAGGTTGAAGTAGCTGCAAAATGCCTCTGCATAACTAAGCAGGTTGATCTGCCTTCATGGAGTTAGGTAATATTGGATAAAATAATGTTGGTGAATTTCTACCAGGGACACTTAATTGTAATAAAATTAATTTTTTTTTCCTGGTTATTAGGCCCCCAAGCCCATCTGTCTCTTAGAAGAGTACTCTAATCCATGCTTTTTCCTCCTGCACGCTAAATTCCCAGGGGCAAGATTAACATCCAATTCATCTTCATAATAGGCGCTCATTGTTTATTAATTCATTCTCCAACAGTCAAATAAGAGACAAGCTGGTAAAATGTTTAAATTAACCTTATGACTGGAAACACTGTAAATCTACTGAATAATGTATTTATAAAAATATTTAGGGTTGGTTACATAACTAAAAAATGGATCCATAAATTAGTAGAAATGTAAAAATTTATTGTTAAATTTGTAATTATAGGAATGATCTATCCAAAGTAACAAAATCAATATTCACTTAAAATAGAAATATATAATGCAAATTAAGCTACTACCCATCATATTTTTTTTGTGTGCTTATTATGAAAAATGTCCACTGTTGTTTCATGACATGGTCTTAAATCAAAATCACAATATCCAAGGGAAAAACGACTCTAAGAAAAGAAGAAAAGAGTTTTTTTAATTAAAAAAAACCCAAAGCCATGTTGTTAAAATGATACAAAAAGAGTGTAATATACTCACTCATAAGACTATATCCTACCTGTGGTTTCTTAAAATAATCAAGTCCTCTTCCAATCTTAATCATCCATCCATTGTTAAACCTGTTGAAATAGTTTACAGTATTATACTCCAGACATTTAACTCAGACAGTTATCAAAGGTGTAGTGTAGCAGGCATCAGCAACATTTACCCCTAACATAGAAAATCACTTTCTGCAGTGGCATGAGTTGAACCAAACCAGGCGTTACTCATGGGCTATGTCTACAATGAAATAAAAACGTCCAAAGGAACCATTAGTTGATTTGATTAGCTGGTAACAAGTTTGATAATTCAATTAATCTTACTCTAGAATTTCAGATTTCTGACAAAACTTTCCTGTTCTAAGTATATTCAGGCAGACTATGGTGTGCTGCAGGGGTTCCCCTACCTAGAGATGGGGGACATAAGCAAGAAGAGCTCTGGATTCCAACAGCAGTTACTCTAAACATATGAAAGCCACTGGGTTAAACAGAAGAACACACTACTAAAATACCTGCATATACTGTTTCCTTATAGACACTGTAGCATACTGTCACACCTATGAGATTATTTAATAAACTGTAAAAAGTAAATACTAAGATCATCAGAATATTAACTATTATCATCAGAAAAGAAAATTATCCCAATACCATAACACTGTATGTATACTTGAATAGAAAAGTACTTCCTCTTCTCACATGAAATAGAACACGTAAACTTGATTCCATTAGGAAATATGAAACTCGACATAATAAGCCAGATTTTTTTTCTCAAAAGTGAAAAGATACTAAAATTGAGCTTTACTTAAAATTTTAATAAATTGAATATTTACATGTAATTATATAAAACTAATTAAAAACTTATTAAAATAAATAAAAGTAAGTATTTTCAACTGCATAAAAATTAAAATATTGCTATACACTAACCTAATTTCTCGGTCATGTACTGAAGAAGAATATTCTAATTCCAATAACACACCGTAATTCTGGAGTGACTCTTTTATTTCTTGCAGGCCACTACTTTGCTGCTGTTTCCCACTACCCTGTTAATAGGAAGAATGCAATTTTCTGTTCAGTTATTATCATTTTAAATTATCATTAGGTTGTGCAGTGTATATCATGGATGAATTAAAACGGGAAAGATTCTATACTAGTTTCAAAGTCTATTATCTCAGAGAAGCAACCAGAGTATGAAATAGTATAATAGCACTTGTTTTTATCAAAATAATTGTTTTTTTCTAATGTGTACATAACACAATTCTGTCCCATCTCCTAAAATGTATTTTAGTAATGCTGTTTAGTTATTCAGATTTTTAGTTACTCAGCTTTCTTTTCAAGTTAATCCTAGAAATCTGGTTTATTTAGAAGCATTCCTATTTAAGTCAAAATCAAGATGGAGATGCTCACTATCATTCTATGATCCACCAGAAGGCCAATACAATAAATCAAGAAAAAGAGATATAATCATTGGTAAAGAGAGACAAAATTGTCAACAGTGCAGACATGTGATCATCTCCTGGAACATCCAAGAGACTAAACTGACAAAACTACTTGAATCAGAGAGTTGAGCAAAGTGGCCAAATGCAAGGTACAACAAAATCAGAAAAAAAACAACAACATTTTTTGGAAGATATTTTAGGCCTATTGTTAGATAATTCCCAAAGAAATAGTTCTAGCTGAAGCAGTGTCCACGTTTTCCTTGCTCAAACTACATCTCGTAACTGAATAAAGTTAATGAAGAAAGAGTAAATGCTTCCAGATACTTACTACATCCAGAGAGGTGAGAAGATGAATAGTTTTTACTTTACATGGTTTCTTAATAAGCATCTCACAAAATCGAAGAAAGTTATATAGCTGAAAGACATCAGGATAGGTTATTATTAACCCATACATTTCAAATAACATTTCATCATATTTTTGTACATTTCACCTACCTGATGATTCTGTCTAATATAAGGATCTTGTATCCAAACTTCTGTAACTGTTTCATTAAGGTATTTTTGAAAAAGTGACTCATAACTGAAACCTGTTGCATTCTCTTCTATTTTAATCTGCTTGTGATATTTTCCATCTACAAAACACAAGTTTCAATAATAAAACCAGTGACCATTTATTTTCTTCTTACACATATTTACATACAGTGATTAATCAGGATCAGATACAATTTTTTTTTTTTTTTTGACAGAGAGAGACACAGTGAGAGAGAGAACACAAGCAGGGGGAGTGGGAGAGGGAGAAGCAGGCCTCCTGCTGAGCAGAGAGCCCGACGCGGGGCTCAATCCCAGAACCCTGGGATCATGACCCAAGCCGAAGGCAGACGCCTAACAACTGAGCCACCCAGGTGCCCCAAGAGTTAATTTTTTTTTTAACTCCTCCACTCAGCAAACATTTCTGAATACCTACTACATATATATGAGACACAATGGAAGATGCTACAAATACAGAGATAAATAAGGCAAACAATTCCCTAAGTCATTTCTACCTTCATGGAGGCAAGGTAGGAAAGTCCAGAGATTTCTTGGAACAGGTTCTTGAGTCGAATCCTATAGACCAGGCAGTTTATTCAAGAGAAGCCTATATGTAAAATGATAGCTGACATTCTGTCACCATAAGTAGAACCATAAGCTAGAACTCAGGGGCTACTTTGTCCTTCTCTTCAGATTTAAGCCTTTTTATGTCCTCAATTTAATAGCTAAAGTATTAAACATATAAATGCAGTATTATATGGAATTTAGAAGAACTTATAGAGTATTTTAAGCAGAAATTTATGCTTCTTAACAACCCAAGCCAAAGACTAGGATGCCACAGGATCCGAAAAATAGTTACATTGTTTTGTTAATTCCAAATGAATAATTATTGAATTTATTATCAAAGACCTTTAAGATTTTTTTAAAATCTGACCCCTAATGGTAGTTTCTAACTTATATGATGGTTGCATATTTAAAGTTTGTTTAAAAACCAGTAGTTTGGATTCCGTTCCTAATGTTTCCACAAATATAATGTTAGTAACTATGCATCAGTTTTCAAGGAAAGTTGGCCCCATAGGTTAATTTAACCCAATGTATTCAAACCACAATGCTGATGGTACTATATTTCACCCATGTTCTAAAAGGAAATTTCATTATACATTTCAGTTTAGGGTGAAGGAAACACTATTTTTCCACCCCACAGAGGAGCTCCGGGAGGGAGGTACCCAGGGTATGGGCTCATACAGAATACTAGGAAGAGGTGGGTGAGGGCTGCACTGTTTTTTTTTTTTATTTTAATAAAGTTTTGAAAGATTTTATTTATTTACTTATTTATTTAGAGAGCAGGGGGCAAGGAGGGGCAGAGGGAGAGAGAGAATCTTAAGCAGACTCTGTGCTGCCTGTGCACAGAGCCCAACACAGGGCTCAATCTCACGACCCTGAGATCAAGACCTGAGCTGAAACCAAGAGTAAGACACTTAATCGACTGCAAAACCCAGGCGCCCCTGGAGGCACTGGTTTTTTGAGGGCAGTAGTAACTTTGGCTAAAAAAAAGCGGAGTGTGCCAGACAAAGGTGGCAATGACCATTTATAGACATATATTTGTAATCTGCATGCTCATGAGTAGAGAACTAATAATAAGTAGGGAAGGATACCTACAGCCTCTCCAGTCATGGAACTGCAACATTGAAATGTTCTGATTCACAACAAAATCCTAAAGAAGTCCCAGAAGCTTATTTAGCTACTTCAACATTTTAGTCATTTTACAAAGGGAAATACAAATAAAATACAGGATTTACATTCTCTATTTCTGTGTAGTATTATTTCAACTGCCATCCATACATAAGCTTCATGGGGATCTGTGAATTCCTTAAAACAGCATGCAGAGTTCTGCAGTACGTATAGCTCTCATCAGATTCTCAACAGGGTATGTGAAAACCACCTCCCCCCCAGGATCCCCCCAAAAAAGCTAAGGACAGCTTATGTATAGGGAAGTGGAAATGCAAAGTAAACCTGTAGGCTCCCAGGGATAGACGGTCCAGACAACAAAGAGTTCCAAAAGGCAGAGCCAGAAACACTGCAGGAAATGGGCTTTGTCACAACAGCTTATAGACACATTCTATAATCAGCCTCTTTACCTTCTTTTTCTTGATCCAAGTATTTCTTCACTATTTCTGCTCTATCCATGTAGCCAGTAATTTGTTTTCTGAGATGACATTTCTTTGTATCATCTTTGGTACCTACAAATTTAAAAAAATACATTCTCAAATTTCCAAATAGTTTTTCTACTTAGTACAGGCATTATTTCCAGTTTCTCAAGTCTTCCACAAATTTCCTATCCTTAAGCATGGTTTGCAAGACCTTCATTTTTACACTAAGTCTCTGAAACAGCTTTATTTAGGAGTGGAGATTCTGATACTGTGTCTCACTGGCGGGGACACCAAATTTGGTGAGGTGACAAAGGTGGCTTATTACATGTCAAATGTGAGTCTAAGAACTATTTTGTCCTAATCAACAAGTCTGAAATCTTAGCATAATCAAAACATAGCAAACAATACCTATCTTTCTTCCACAAAACCAGCTTCTCTTCCAGATTTCCCCATTATAGTTCATTTTCCCAGACACCCCAAAAATGTAAGGTATTTTTTAAATAACATTATCAATAAAATTTTACCCCAAGCCCCACCCCCCAAAACCCAATCAGTCACCAAATCACTTCTGGTTTCTTCATTCCTTCCTTTTGATATTGCTTATATTTTCCATAATTTCATTTTTAAACTCCCAGTTTTAAAAATATTTTAATTTTGTATTTATATAAAAATTGCAATACAATGGTGCAGTACCCTTTCACCCAGACTCCCCTAATTTAACATACCATGTAAGTATAGTACAATTATCAGAGTTAGGAAATTAACACTGATACACTATTAACTCATCCACAAACCTTACTTGTATTCCACCAATTTTCCCTCTAAAGAAAGTCTGTTTTCTGGTTCGGGATCCTACACAGCATTTACTTGTCATGTCTTCTTGGTCTCCTCCAATCTGTAATAGGTCCTTGGCCTCTCTCTACCTTTTATGATTTTGACATTTGGGGAAAACCGTGTTGTTATTTTGTAGGATGTCTCTCATTTGGGGCTGTTGGTGTTTTCTCATGATTAGATTGAGGTTATGCCTTTTTGGCAAGAAAATCATGAAAGCATGCCCTTCTTAGTGGGTACATGATGTCAATATGTGTTATTATTGGCAATGTTAACTTTGATCACATGGTCATTGAAGAGACTACTCCGCTGTAAAATCACTATTTTGTCCTTTGTAATTGGTAAGTATCTTGTGGGAAGATACCTTGTTTCTCATCACTCTGACCCACTAATTTTAGCATCCATTGATGGTCCTCGCCTGCAACAATTATCACTAGAGTGTCTGTCAAACAGATTTTCTATTTCCATCATTCCTATTTAATTTATAAATTTGGAATGCTACTGTAAGGAAGAGCTGTCCCTTCTCCTCCATCTGTTTATTTATGCAATGATTGATTTATATCAATATGGACTCAATGGACTCATGCATATTTATTTTAGTCTGTGGGTTGTAATCCAATACTATTGGTTTTTTAAAGTTTGTATTTAAATTCCAGTTAGTTAACATACATTGTAATATTAGTTTCAGATTTCAACACTTCCATATATCACCCAGTGTTCATCACAAGTGCACTCCTTAATCCCCATCCCTCTAGCAACCTCCCTTTTGGTAACCATCAGTTTGTTCTCTATAGTTACGAATCTGTTTCTTGGTTTGCCTCCCTCTTCTTTTTTTTTTTCTCTCTGCTGGTTTGTATCTTAAATTCCACATATGAGTGAAATCATATGGTTATTTGTCTTTCTCTGACTTACTTCGCTTAGCATAATATACTGTAGCTCCATCCATGTCATTGCATATGACAACACTATTATTTTCTTGTTCTAATTTTATCAGCTTTGGCTGATAAAAAAAGGAGCTGAGAGCTCCTTTGTGTTGGCCCCTGCCCATTCAACATGACCCATCATATTTTGAGCACTTCCTTGCTTTCTGGTGCAAAATGTTTTATTTATTTTTTTTATTTTTTATTTTTTTAAAGATTTTATTTATTTATTTGAGAGAGAGAGAATGAGAGATAGCACGAGAGGGAAGAGGGTCAGAGGGAGAAGCAGACTCCCTGCCGAGCAGGGAGCCCGATGTGGGACTCGATCCCGGGACTCCAGGATCATGACCTGAGCCGAAGGCAGTCGCTTAACCGGCTGAGCCACCCAGGCGCCCAGGTGCAAAATGTTTTAAACTCATCTTGTGTTTTCCATGCCCCAGCCCTGGAATCAACCATTTTTCCAAGAAGCCCTGGTTCCTTTGTTGGAGAATGGTATGAAGAAATCCAATTCTGGGTGCTGAGTGTACTCGTTGCCACTAAGGAAGTCCTGTCACTACTTCTAGACCCTTTTAGTCAACGTGGCTAGAACGTATATGTATGGTTAATAACACACACGTACATCTGCATTTATTTCTGTGTCTATCCATCTGCATATATATTAAAAACCACAAGTTCATGATCATAACTGTGACCCCACAGGGTTCATTCTAGCCCTCTTCCTCTCCTTATGTGTAACTTCTTTTATTAACCACAATATATGTTCTGGCTTGTTCAAGCCTAGTATAGACACAATTGTTCTCTTTCATTCAAGTGGGAGGAAAGACAACAATAAAAGTAAATTGGTAAAATACATATGTTAGATTGTGATAAGTGCTATTAAATAAAATAAAACAAGGAAGAAGGATAAGGGAGTCCTAGGATGGGGTTGTAATTTTATACAGAAGGTCAGGGAAGGCCTCACAAAGAAGGTAATATTTTTTTGGGGGGGGTTGTTTGTTTTAAAGATTTTATTTATTTGACAGAGAGAGAGAAAGAAAGAGAGAAAACAAGCAGGGGGAGCTACAGAAGGAGAGGGAGAAGCAGGCTCCCCACTGAACAGGGAGCCGGATGTGGGGCTCGATCCCAGGACCCTGAGGTCATGACCTGAGCTGAAGGCAGATGCCCAACTGAGCCACCCAGGCCCCCCTTTTTAAAAGATTTTATTTACTTGACACAGAGAAAGAGCAGAGAAGGTAATATTTGTATAACAAAAGGAAAGAGAGGGAATATGCTATACAAATATTTGGGAGAAGAACATATTCCTAATAGAGACAATCCCTACATGCAACTTTAATTACATCACTCTTTTGTAAAAACTTTAAATGGTTTCTCCCTGTCTATGGAATGAGTTAAAATCTGGTGGTCAAGGCCATCCACACTGTGTTCCAAGCCTCAGTCTACCTTTAAACTTTACTTCTCACTCTTCCTCTACAGACACATGCTGGGACCAAACTGAACCACTTATTTGGTAAACTAGCACAGACAGAATTTAAACACTTAGCTGAATTTCATTTCTGAAATTCTACTTCTCCAAAGCCCCTGTCAAAAGCCACTTCCACCTTTCCTCCCCCAAATGACCTTTAATTGTTTAAGTCCTCATTGTACTTGTCTATACCCTCTCCTGGCACTTCTTCCCAATATAGAGTTATTTGCATTTCTATCTTCATATGTAAGATTACATCACTGTCTCTATAACCTCTGTAGAATCAGCGGAGCAAACTGGAGCAAAACTGATTCTCCTGATTCAGATTCCCAGAGTGCCAGAACTTGAGCAGTGCTCCCCTGACCAACACTGTACACTGTCTCTTTTTGGCAGTCAGTATACCAGAGTCTTTAAAGCCTTGGGTTCCAATTGTTACTCTAATAATTGTGGTGGAACTGAAAAGCTTAATGTTATGCTGCAAATGAGGATAACATCACCTCCTACTTCATAGGGCGATTGTAGGGATGAAACAAGATTATGATTTTGATGTACTCTGCACAGTGCGAGCACTCAGCACTCGTAAATGTAACTATTCTTATCATCATCATCATCATCATCAAATGGGCTTTCCCAAGGCAGTTTTATAGTTTTTTTTAAGATTTTATTTTATTTGAGAGAGAGAGTGGGCACACACGAGTGGGGGGAGGGGCTGAGGGAGACGGAGAAGCAGACTCCCTGCTGAGCGTGGAGCCCAATGCGTGGCTCTATCCCAGAACCCCAAGATCACGACCTGAGTTGAAGTCAGTCGCTTAACCGACTGAGCCATCCAGGCGCCCCTGTAGTTTTACAGTTCTGACAAAAGCACCCATCCTTGAAGAGCGCCCTCTGCTGTCTTTTCAAAGCTTCTGTAACACTTAGGCTAAAAGGCACACAGGGGAGATCGTAGGCCAGAAGAGGAGCCCCAGAGGGTGGGGAGCAGGGGCTAGTCTTAAATCAGTTTAATACCTAATTACTGGGTGTCTGCTATGGGCCAGGGATTGTACTAGTTGTTAATGGTTATTTGGGTACTTCTCAACATTGAATAACTACATGACAGATAAAGTCTCGCTGTCTCACCCACTATGCATTTCTCACACTGAATTTCAGCACACACGTTTCTTAGAATTTTTTTTTTACCGCTACGTGATTTTATTTTTGTTTACTTCTAACCAAAATATCTAAACAGAAAAGTAATAATAGTGTACTGAACACCCTTATTACCCATCACATAGATTTAAGAATTGTTAGCATTTTGCCACATTTGCTCCAACTTTTTTTTCCTTAAAATTAAATTCAGACATCATGACAAATTCTTCCCAAGACACTTCAGTCTACATCTCTAAAAATCAAAGACAGTTTTCGACAAAACCATACTGCTTAACAAAATCAGTAATTTGGGTGTTACCCAATCCATATTCAAACTTCCCAAACTGATCCAAAAATGTCTTTTACATTTCGTTCAAAACTAGTCCTATCAAGGTTTATATACTAATTTTATTGTCTCTTAAAAACCTAGAGTATTGCCCCTCTTTTCTAATGACATCAATCTATTAAAGATATAAAAGAAACCAGTCCACTTGTTCTGGAGAATATCCACCTTCCGTATTTGACTGCTTCCTAGTGGTGCACAAGAAGGACTTTAAACTTTCACTCCGCCCCAGACACAGCGGGATCCAGTTCCTTTCCTCTAGTCCTGTCTCCACCGCTCCCTGCTCACCTCTCAGAACCTGCATGAGCAGGTCTATCCCCTCCTGGTAACACACCAGAGCCTGCTGGTACCGGGATTCCGAGTCTAGTTCCACCGCCCGCTTTAACACCGTGAATGCAGCCACGCTCTGACCATCCAGCTCCTTCCCGGACTTCGCCATAATTCCGAAACTCTCCAGCGTCCCAAGCTCAACCAGAACTGAGCCAGCAGGCCGCGCTTCCGGGGGCGATCACGTGACATCAGTGCGCCTGCGCTCTCTTTATGGCCCGTGAATGGGCGGGACATGGCCGGAACTAAAGTGCGCGTTGTCGCAGTTGGTGCACGCTGTGACTGCTGGGCTTAAATGTAGCGCTTGGTGATCTTTCCTCTTTTCTTCTTTCATTTGGTAAGTTCAGTTTGAACAACTTTTAGCAGTAGGTGGTGAGAGGGGAATGGCGGAAAGTATTGCATTTTTGCCAGGAGTACGTATCTGGGAACGCTATGGAGATGGCTGTTGGTTTTCCTATTGGATTCTGAGTTTGCAGGTCGCAGTAACCTAAATGGGCCTGCGCCCGTGTACTGTCCCATGGGCTCGCGAACAGCCAGTGGTCGACCGGAGCCTGTGTCCCAGTTCCCGATGCCCGCGGCTTCTTGAGCCCGACTCTTGGAGCCCAAGGGCCGAGCCGCCTAGGCAGCTTAGTGAGGAAGGGAATTCGGGTTTGTTTTAGCAGCTTCTGTGCTTCTGTTGTATTACTAATTTCGGTTTCCCACTGGGGATCAGTGTAACTTGAATTTTTTTGTTAGTAAAGATAAAAGCTTACCTAATTGCATTTTAGAAGGCAAAACTTTCCAGCGTTGGTAGTTAAAATATTTACCATTTTACCAAAAGCTGTAATTTCGCAAGCATGTTTTTGATTGCCACCTATCCACAGCTGCCTGTTCTGCGTCTTTTTGCCAAGGGGCGCGGATGAGGATGGGGACTGCCTATTACTTGATAGGCATTAGGAATTAAAAGAAGAGACATTTATTGCCTTCAGAGATCTCGGTTTATTGAAAGGGAAATTCTGTGTTGTGCATTTTCGGTAGTGTTTCCCCTCCTTTTGTCATTAAATGGATGTCTAAAACTATTCAGACATTAACTGGGAGCCACTTACTTCAAAGCCCAAGAGTTGTGTGCCTTATTATTAACAATAATCTTTACTTTTTTTTAAAACTTAACTTTTGACTGTCACACCTTTGAAGTCTGTAAATTAAACTTAATTCAACAAAAACTGATTGAGTGCCTAGTACATGACAGCTTCTGCTTTAGGTATATGCTTGGGATACATCTGTGAAGAGACAGGGCAGGCCAAAAACAAAACAAAATTTAAAAATCATTGTCCTTGCGGAATTAACATGTTACTGGGTGAAGACAAACAACAAACCTAATAAACTGTGTTAGAAGATAAGTGCTATGGAAAGAAAATCAAGTGAAGTAAGTCTGACAGTTTGGGGGTGGGTCAAAATGTTGAATAATGGAATTTGGATAGGCCCTACTGAGAAAAGATTTGAGCCAAGAATTGAAGGAAGTGAGAGAATTAACTATGTGAATATCAGGAGCATTACAGGAGAAAGAACAGCCTTCCAAAGGAGTATGGCTTCCTGGCAACTTGTAGGACCTGTAAGGGGGCCAGTGTGTGTATTGATTAAGAGTGGTTGGAGATGAAGTCCTAGAGGTGGGGGTTAAGGACTGGCTGTTGCTCCAATGCATTAAAGCTTTTTAGGTATTTAATAAATCAACTTTTTATTTTAGAATAATTTTAGGTTTATAGAAAAGTTGTGAAGATAGTACAGAGTTCCTGTATACCCCACACCTGATTTCCCCTTTTATTAACATTTTGCATTAGTATGGTACATATATTGTAATTGATGAATCAATACTGATACATCATTAACCAAAGTTCATACTTCATTTGGATTTCTTAGTGTTTACTAGATGTCCTTTTACTGTTCCAGAATCCCATTTGGTCGTCATGGCTCCTTAGGTTCCTCTTGAGTATGGCAGTATCTCACTTTCCTTGTTTTTGGTGACCTTGACAGTTTTAAGGCACTCAGGTATTTGAAGAGGTACTGATCAGGTATTTTCCACAATGTCCTTCAAATGGAGTTTGATGTTTTTCTCTCAGCATGGTGTTAGGGGTTTTTGGGAGGAAGACCACAGACATGAAGTGCCATTCTCATTCCATCATATTAAGCATGCATGCTATCAACTTGACTTTTATCACAGTTGATATTTACCATGATCACCTGGCTGACATAGTGTTTGTGAGGTTTCTCTAGTACAATGTTATCTTTCACCCTTTCTATACTGTACTCTGGGAGCAAGTTGTTAAGCATAGCCCATACTTAGGAGTGGCTTTGCTCCACCTTTTTGAGAGGGAAGTATCTGCATAAGTTATTTGGAATTCTTCTATAAGAGACATTTGTTTCTTCTCTCCCATTAATTTACTTCTTCATTTATTTATATGAATATGGAATCATGGTTATTTTATGGTTTGGATTATAAGCCAGTACTTTTTTACTTTGTAGCTCATATTGGTCCAGCTTTTGCCATTGGGAGCTCTTCACTTGGTTCCTATGTCCCTTTAACATACTCTCATCATTTTGATTTTTTGAGTAGTTCCTTTCTAGTGCTACAAGATGCTCCAGGCTCATTTTTATATATTCCCTGAGGTAGCCCTCCAATCAGCCATTTCTCCATGGAACCCTGGTTTCTTTTATTAGAGAATGCTAAGATCAGGGTGCTGGGTGTGCTCATTGCTACGGGGATTCCATTGCTTTTTAGTCTTCTTAGCTAACAGAGCTAACCCACGTATTCATACATGTCTGTGATTATTTCTATATCCATCACTGTCTGTATTTAGCTAAACATGAGTTCGAACTCTAATCCTGTGCCATTGGATCACATGGATTTATTCTGGCTTTCTCCTCTTGTTTATATGTTACTTCTCACTCCAACAGTGAGAAACCTGGCTCATTGGAAGGTTTTGAGAAGAGGAGTTGATTGACATGATCTGATTTAGGATTTTAATTAGATGATTGCTGCCATAGAGAAGAGATCTTAGGGAAGTTGGAATGGAAGCTAGAAGGCCAGTAAGGAGGATTTTGTTGAAATTTAAGTGATAAGAAAAAGAGTAACATAGTGTGAAGCCAAATGAGTTGGGTTGGTATATTATGTTTAACTTGGGAGGAAGAAGTATGGTAAAGAAAATATTTTATCATTACCTATTTGATTGAAGGGCCTGAGGATTAAATAAGCATCTCTTCTAAGGAAATTAAGCGTTTCTTCTAAGGAAGCCTTGATATAAAATCTATATAAACAACCAGGCAATGGCTGATGATTTGAACTAGGAATTGTTATGCTATATGGTAATGTTTGAAGTCTGAAGTCTGAATGAGAGTTACGAAATTTTGAGGTACTTCTGAATTCTGAGCTGAGCAGACCATAGATCTAACCCATTAACTGATTCAGTCATTCAGAAACAAACACCGTTCATCAGAGACTGTGTTAGATGCTGAGAGTAGAAAATGAACAAGACAAAATTCTGGATTTCATGGCACTAAGGATTTAGTAGTTAACTCTTCTAAAACCTATGCATAATTAATTTTGAGAGACTGGTTCAGTTGCTGAAAATTTTTCTGAAGTCTGGCTCTTTTAATGGGACATCTTGCATCGATTCCCACAACTTCATTGCTTTTTCCACATCACAGGAAAGACTTACAGAGCTTGAGTGAGCCAGAATCTGGTGGATTCACTGAAATACACCATTGTATTCTATTTTGATATGTTATTCTTATTACAGTTTTGTAATAATTTAATAATTTTATCATAGTAAAAGCTGCCATTCATTGAGGGCTTCTTATGTGCTAAATACTGTTTTAGGTGTTTTTAGAATAACTCATTTGCAAGATAGGTATTATATTCTTCTGGGGAAAAAATTGAAGCACACAAATTAAATAACTTATCCAAAATATACATGTAGTTCATAAACCTAATCTTTCTGTTTTTAGTATACATCAGTACAGTAGGTTGTAATTATTTGTGTCTAAATAAACATGACTTTTTCTACATCATAGAAGCAATGCATGTTCGTTAAGAATAGTTTAACAGTACAGATATGCAAAACAGAAAGTTATGGTTTACCTCTTAACAGAAAGATGTTATGATTTAGTGAAAATGTGCTGGACCAGGAACTAAAATTGGGTTCCAGACCATATACTCCTTGGATAACTGGATGCCCTTGGTAAATGATTGACTTTTCATTTTCCACATACATAAGGTAAGAAGGTTGTTAATTCTAGTTCTAGGAGTCGGGATTTCTTCAGTCTCTTCTAGCTCTTCCATTTTCTGTGACTCTTTAACAAGCATTCTTTGTGCTTATTGTTGAAGAGAATTTTTTTAAACAATAACTTCCTTTGCCCATTTTTGTTGAGTCAACCTAGGTTCTAACTCATTTGACAAAAATAGGATGTGGTTAATGTATAATTACTACGTATGGTTTTGCTGAACTCCAAATAACACATTTATTAGAACTTTATTCTTACCTTTATTGTATTAAAATAATAAGATTTCACTGTTAAACTTTAACTGAGTTTATAATTAACTTGTTCTTTAGTTTTTTAATAATACAGAAGTGGGCACCTGGCCATTTCCAAGACACATTTGACTAACGGATCTATTTTCTGCTTGTCACAGCCTCAGAAGAGAACAGTCACCACACTCATGGCAGGGATTTTGCGCTCAATAGTTCAGAGGCCCCCAGGCAGACACCAAGTAAGTGTTTCAAGTATTATCTCTCTCTCTCTCTCTCTTTTTTTTTTTATTCTTTAAGAACTGTTTCTTTCTCTTTTTTAATTAACAAAACAACCAGGCAGGTTTAACTGCACAAGTTCCTTTTTTTATATATATTTTTTAGTGTTGAGGATCAGTCTTATTTATGGTTTATCTGCTGTTTTATCACTAAAGATTTGAAGATTTTTACCTGGAGAACATGCTGGTAAAAAATGGCTAGTATTGGTTTCCCCTTAATCTTTTTAAAGTTTAAGGGTTTATTCTCTTCAGTTACGAAAAGAGTGTATTTTCAATCATAGAAAAATAGAAAACTGTGGAAGAGCAGAAAGAAGAAAAGCACTCTCCCAGAAACCATTCATGCTTGTATTTTCATGGATTTCCTTGTAGTCTTTCTTACAGAAATTATAGCAGCCCAGCCTAATCTGTTCATGAGGGCCAGAGTCTAGATACAGGTGTGCTGTTGGCTATAGATAGTAATATTAGGTGCTTTATGTAGATTACCTTAACTTTAAATTAATCCTGTGGGGTCAGTATTGTTTCCTTTTAAAACAGCTGAGGAAATTGACTCTCTGAGAGGGTGTCTCATTTCTCACAGATGATAAGCACAGAACCAGGATTAAAAGCCCATATTTTTCCTTTCCCTTGCTCATTCGCTCCTACTTACTCTCTAATTATGTGTGGACCTCAGCAGGACAGAAAGGGCATGAAGGGAATGAATATTGCCTATCCAGAGAGGAGTTTCCAGATAGGAGGGATTGGCAGTGAATCTTTTCACTTTAGCGACTGAGAGCAACAGGACTAGAAGATTGCAGAAGGGCAACAAGAGATAGGAACTAGGAGTGATGGCATTGTAGGGACTAGAAAGACAACCATAAACTCATTTCTTTTTACAGTGTATTGTTGAAGGTTATTATTGCACATCGTGTGGAGCAGGGGTTGGCAAACTACAGTCTGCAGGTCAAATTCAGCCCACCTGTTTTCGGAAATCAGGCTTTATTGGAATGTAGCCACGCCCACTTGTTTACATATTGTTTGTGGCTGCTTTTGCCCCCCAGTGGCAGAATTGAGACTTGGCAATGGAAACCATACAGCCCCAAAGCTGGAAATAACTTCATGTTTAGTCCTTTACAGAAAAATATTGCCAAGCCCTGGTCAAGAAGTCTCTGTTTCACTCATATGTGGAATTTAAGTTAACAAAATAGATGAACGTAGGGGGAAAAAGAAAAAAGAGGAGCAAACCAAAAAACAGACTCTTAACTCTAGAGAACAAACTTGAGGGTTACCAGAAGGGAGGTAGGTGGGTAGGGGGATGGGCTAAATGGGTGATGGGGATTAAGGAGGGCACTTCCAATGAGCACCAGCTGTTGTATGTAAGTGAGGAATCACTAAATTCTACACCTGAAACTAATATTACACTGTATGTTAACTGGAATTTAAATAAAAACTTGAAAAAAAAGAACAGAAAAGTCATATTTACGAGCTTTTTGCTTTCTAATGTTAGTGGTAAGATGAATATATTCATTCAGCTGAGGGGCTGAGATAAATGTTTGATAATTATAGGTTAGGTAAAAACAGACTTTTGTCACCTAAAAATTGGTGGGTATGGATTTCTGCAGTAGACAGAGTTCTTGAAAAAAATGTTTTATATCATGTTTTAGACTGTGACAAAAGGTGTGGAGTCTCTTATTTGCACGGATTGGATTCGTCACAAATTTACCAAGTCAAGAATTCCAGATAAAGTAAGAAGAAGGGTTTTGGGGGTTGGGGGGGTTAGAATTACTATTTTTTTAAGCATGTGCTGTTTTAAAAGATACCTACTTTTGTAATATTGAAAACTTTTATGTTAAGTTATTTGTGGATGTTGGTGGTAGGGCAGAGTTTAAATAAAGCGTGGTAGAATTTATCTAAATGATTGTTTTTTTTTTTAAATGTGCCACGGGCCTTTGTAGTAGTAGGTTTTTATCATCTTAGAATCTGTTTATTCCTGCTTATGGTATTTTGCATTAATAGTTTGTGTCTTCATATCACCGTTGTCCTCAGAAAACAGTGAGTCTTCTTCCTGCTCAGACACTGTCTGTGTGGCTCTCACTTTCTATCTTGACTATTGCAACTTGGAATCTTTGCGAGAGAACTGCTAGATTTATGTGTACATACCATTCTTTCGGAAGACACTAGCTACATTGCTTTTTGTGTTTTGTTCCTACATTAGCCACATAGAACCACTTGGTTTTCCCAAATATTTCAGGCTCTTTACACAGTTTCTTTATATCTTCTCTCCTTTTCTTTGGCATGCCTGCCCCATACTCTGTCTTCCACCATTCTTCTCACCCTGCGTCTCTTCAAAACCCCTAGAAAATACAAACAAGCAAAAACAACTGAAAAGCACCCTTGATCCCACCTATCTGGAGACAGCTACTGTCAATACCTTCCACATCCTTTTCTGTTGTATGTTTTTAAAAGATGTGAATCATCTCATGTATACTGTTTCTCTAGTTGCTTTCTTCATTTAGCAATATAATGGGAGCCTCTCAAGGATAAGTTTCTATAATATTATTTTCATGATTGAATTATATGCTTTTGGATTAAAGTACCATCTTCTGTGTGTGTGATTCCCCAGAGGTATGACTCTTGATCTAATATCTTTGAAACCTTTATACATACATAAGTGTGTGTGTGTGTATAAAATGATTTCTTAGAATCAGTATTTATGTAATGTATCATATATACAAACCTGTGTATTTTGGTACACATGAAACAAATACAAGAGCCTACTACGGGGGTGCCTTGGTGTCTCAGTCAGTTAAGCGTCTGCCTTTGGCTCCGGTCATGATCCCAGAGTCCTGGGTTTGAGCCCCAAGTCAAGCAGGGAGTCTGCATCTCCCTTTTCCTCTGCCCCTTCCCCCTGTTCATACTGCCTCTCTATCTCTCCTTTTTCTCTCAAATAAATAAAATCTTTAAAAAAAAAAAGGTCCTATTACACATGGTTGTGTGGATTTTTCTTTTCTTTTGCTCAAGAATGTATTATGGCTGTTCTTCAACATTAGTAGCTGCTAAGATAGTAAGCTGTATTTGTTTTAATGGCAGCATTGTATCCCATTGGATACATCATAGTTTATTTAATTATATCATATTTTGTTTGGTTTTGTTATTGTTAGTTTTATTTATAATGTATGCATCCTAATTCATTTAGTTATTCTATGAGGAACATGGATGTGGCCTTTAAATTTTTCAGTATTACAAGTAGTATTACCATGTACATCCTTATTCAGTACATTTTATGTACTTAGGGAAGGTTTTCGTGGGATAGCTTACTGGAACATCTTGATTCTTAGAGAATCAGTTCACATAGCAGCTCTCTGGAGCCGTTTCTAATCCTTCATGGGCAGTCATTTGTCTGTACTCTTCTAGTACTTTGTACATACTTTTTTATGATCCTCAAGTGTTATTGTCATTGTAAGCTTAGCTTTGTCCCCCTGATTGAACGGGGTGAGGGGATGCAGCTGTGCCCAGCTTATACAGGGCTAATACAGTCTCTGACATTTGAACTCTTCAGTGTCCTCTGGTGGCTCCTGCTTCACTCTTAAAACAGTTTTTGCCTGTGTGATACTTTTTTCAGAGTATGAAATTATTAGACTTTTTCTGTCTAAGTAATCAGATGGGTATAAATGTTCAATTTGAGGATAGGATTACAGAAAAATTTGGGATGAGATTGTTACGTGGTTGGTTGGGTTTTTTTTTTTTTTAAGGAAAAAAGGAGATACTTAGAAGCATAGATATGTAGAAGTTGAAAAACATACATACAAAGAAGTTGAAAATTTACCATTTATAATTCTCCTTTCTTAGGTATTTCAGCCTTCACCTGCAGATCATGAAAAATATGGTGGGGATCCACAGCACCCTCATAAACTGCATATTGTTACCAGAATAAAAAGTACAAAAAGACGTCCATATTGGGAAAAAGATATAATAAAGATGCTTGGATTAGAAAAAGTATGCAACTATTTAAGTCATCTTACGTGATGTTTAAATTTGCTTTAAATTTTATAATTCTTAAACTTTAAGGTGTATTTTTATTGTTTCTTTTGTTTAAATGTATTATTTAGTGTAATTTATTTGAAACTTTGATTTAGACAAAATAAGCCTTCATTTTCACATTTTGCTGAAACATGGGCCATCTGCTCTGAAACTGATCCATTACATGGTTTCCTTTCTTTCTAGGCACATACTCCTCAAGTTCACAAGAATATCCCTTCAGTGAACGCAAAACTGAAAGTGGTTAAACATTTGATAAGGTTTGTTGTTTGTCAGCGATTTTTTAAAATGTGTTACCTAATATAATTCTAAAAGCATTTTCTTATGTCACAGGATCAAGCCCCTGAAGTTGCCCCAAGGACTTCCAGCTGAGGAGGACATGTCTAACACGTGCCTCAAGAGCACTGGGGAATTAGTGGTGCAGTGGCATCTAAACCCCATAGACCAGGAAGCAGTTAAGTCCTAAGGCCAGAGCAGTTTCATATTAAAAAATGCAAATCATTTTTATTTAAAGGTAGTGAGAAAGTGTTCTCATTAAAATATATTTTAAATACTAGTCCTTTTCACTGGCTAAACATGGTGTGATTCTTCTTTATATAGGCTTGGAGGTTTCAGTGCTGCTTTTTGGTTTAACACTCTCTCCCTCTGACCGTTTCACTGCAGAATGGGCAAGAATAGTGTTATTTGAACATCTGGGTCTAGATGTCACCTTAGCAGTCACCATTGACTTTTTTTAAAAATACTGTTTTCTCTTTTAATTGAATTCAGCAGATTCTGTGAGTGTCCCTTTGAGTGAGCAGTGTGTTATATGTGGAGAAATGCACAGCTGACCAGAACATGGTCCCCGCCCATCAGGAGCTTAGTCTGTTTTGCTAGAGAACAGAGACTCAGCCACAGTCATTAAACATTAGGTGTAGCTAGATTGGCTGCTTTGTGCTTTAGTGTCTATAAATATTTATGTAGACTTGACTGCGTTTTCTTAAGCTTAATACCAAAAATAGTATCTGTTTTTTAATTATAAATTTAATTTGACCTAAATTTTACTGATGTTCTTTGAATTCCTCAGAAACTGCCAACAGTTGAGATTGTTATTTAAAAGACAAAAAATAAGGGAGAAATCTTTTAGGGAGAATTGGGCTTTTTTTTTTTCCTTTTTTTCTATTTCAGATACCTGGAGGGATTGGGAGAAGTAAGAATTTTAGGAGAGGTTCAGTACTGGGAAATTTTGTGGCAGCTAATTGAAGATGATGGTGAAGAATCTCTGAATTCTAATTACCTGTTATTTCCCTTTGTCCCTTGTGAGATTTAGCTTGGGCAACAATAACATTGGCACACTACTCATAATTTGTGGTCCCAGTATCCATCCTGTCATGGATCTTGATGTTTTGGGGCATCAAGCAGAAGTGCCACCTAAAATGAAGCCAGATATCATTAATATTTTTTTAAGATTTATTTATTTATTTTAATCACAATGAGATACCGCCTCACACCAGCCAGAATGGCTAAAATTAACAAGTCAGGAAACAACAAATGTTGGCGAGGATGTGGAGAAGGGGGAACCCCCTCCTACATTGTTGGTGGGAATACAAGCTGGTACAGCCATTGTAGAAAAGAGTATGGAGGTTCCTCCAGAAGTTGAAAGTAGAGCTACCCTACGACCCAGCAATTGCACTACTAGGAATTTACCCCAAAGATACAAATGTATTGACCCAAAGGGCCACCTGCACCCCAATGTTTACAGCAGCAATGTCCACAATTGCCACACTATGGAAAGAGTCCAGATGTCCATCGACAGATGAATGGATAATGAGGATGGTATATACATACAATGGAATATTACCTAGCCATCAAAAAGGATGAAATCTTACCATTTACATTGATGTGGATGGAACTGGAGGGTATTATGCTGAGTGAAATAAGTCAATCAGAGAAAAATAATATGGTTTCATTCATCTATGGAATATGAGAATCAGCGCAGAGGATCATAGAGGAAGGGAGGGAAAACTGAATGGGAAGAAATCGGAGACAAACCATGAAAGACTCTTAACTCTAGGAAACAAACAGGGTTGCTGGAGGGGGGAGGTGGGTTAGGGGGATGGGGTAACTGGGTGATGGGCATTAAGGAGGGCAAGTGATGCAATGAGCACTGGGTGTTACATGCAGCTGATGAATAACAACTCTACATCTGAAAGTAATGATGTACTATATGTTGGCTAATGGAATTTAAATTTAAAAAAAAATATTTATTTATTAGAACGGGGAGGAAGGGCAGAGGGAGAGAGAGAATCTGAAGCCGACTCCCCACTGAGCGTGGAGCCAAATGTGGGACTCAGTCCTCTGACCCTGAGATCACAACCTGAGCCAAAACCAAGAGTCGGATGCTCAACCAACTGCGCCACCCAGGCACCCCAGATATCATTAATTATTAAGCTTAAACTGTTTTAATTAAACAATTATTGAATACCCAATATGTGTAAATCCTGGAGGGAATATAAAGCCAAAGGACACTAACTTCAGGGAGCTCATTCTAATTGGAGAGACCTCTGTGCTAACAACAAAATGTGTCCTTGCTGCAGGTGGGTTGAGGATAGCTGTGTAAATAAAAGCTGGTCACTGCTAATTTATTGCCATCTCTTTCACTGTACTAATATTAATATTTAAAATGGGGGAAAGAACATTGATTAATTTTTACCAGAAGAGTCTAATAAACTTTGGGTAAGTAATTTTAACCTCAACAGCCCATGACTAGAAAAAAGGAACTAAATGTTAAGTTGAATATTTAGAAGTGAATTTGTCTAGAAGAAGAAAAGTCTATAGAGCGAGCATGGGCATAGGGCTAGTTCATTAGTTTTCTATGACTGTGTAACAAATTACAACAAACTCAGTTTCTTAAAGCAACACACACTTAATTCACTTGTTTCTGTGGGTCAGAAGTTTGGGCTTGTATTTGCAGTGACATGGATGGAGCTAAAGCGTATTACGCTAAGTGAAAAAAGTCAGAAAAAGACATACCATATAATTTCATTTATATGTGGAATTTAAGAAAGAGAACAGATGAACATCTGGGAAGGGAGAAAAGAGAAAAAGGAGAGAGGGAAATAAACCATAAGAGAATCTTAACGACAAAGAACAAGCAGGGTTGATGGAGGGAGGGAGGTGGGGATGGGCTAGATGAGTGATGATTATTAAAGAAGGCACTTGTGATGAGCACTGAGTGTGGTATGTAACAGATGTATCACTGAATTCTCCAGAAACTAATATTGCACTGTATGTTAACTAAAATTTAAATACATTTAAAAAAAAAAAAGTAGTAGTTTGGACTTAGCAGGGCCTAGTCTGCCTAGGGTCTCGCAAGGTTGAGTTGTCAGAGCATTGATTGGGAAAGGATCTGCTTCCAAGCTCTGAGATTGTTGGCAGAGTTCATTTCCTTGTAGTTGTAGGATTCATGGCAAATTGCTTCTTCAAACCCAGTATTGAGAGAAACTCCAGCAAGATGGGTGCTACACTCTTAGGTAGTCATGCAAATGCAGTCATGTACATTCCATCATCTTTGCATTCCATTGGTTAGAAGCAAGTCATAAGTCTGGCTAAACTCAAGAAAGGGGAATCTTGCAAATGTATGGCTGGCAGGAAGCAAGGGTCTTGGGGGCCTCCTTAAAATTTACCTGCCAAGTATGATAAGTTCCATCCCCAAGCTGGACCCAGGTAATTCCCCATTTGGCCTGCCTTTGCCTCATATCATTTCAAAACCTTGTAAGGACTTCTTGCTTACTCATGTCTTTGGGTCTCTGAGAATTGCTCTATTTGATTTCTTCTGCTTTGTTTCAGATTTTGTCTGACCTCATTGGTGACAATTGGCATTTGATCAAGCTCAGGGAGATAAAGTTACCCAAGCACTAGCACTACCTTTTTTTTTTTTTTTTTTTTTTAAGATTTATTTGAGAGAACATGAGCCAGGAGAGGGGCAGAGGGAGAGAGAGAATCCTCAGGCACTCGTCGCTGAGTGCAGAGCCCAATGTGAGGCTTGATCCCAGGACCCTGAGATCATGACCTGAGCTAAAACCAAGAGCTGGACACTCAACCAGCTGAGTCACCCAGTCACCACTTACATTACCTTAAGGACCATACCAGTTCTCTCAAAGTCTTGTCAATCTAAAATTGTGCCTCTTCTAGGTATATCTTTTTTCCTTATAATACTAATACATTCTAACTGGCACAGTTTCACCAAGAATAATTTGGAATTGCACTGGCCATCGGGGCGGGGGCGGGGGGGCTTTTGACATGAACAAGATTGTGTATTTGGGAGGTAACTTAAAAGAGTGAAGAAATCCCATGAGATTATTTGTCTTTGTTTTTCTGGAAAAGAGATAAAAAAAAAAGATATCTTGCTTAATGTAGGTAGTATCCTATCCTTCCCATACATCAAGGAATAACAAGTACTGGCTTTTTGATTACCCAGTTTGATAAAATTTTTTTAAAAGATTTTATTTATTTGAGAGAGAGAGAATGAGAGAGAGCACGAGAGGGAAGAGGGTCAGAGGGAGAAGCAGACTCCCTGCTGAGCAGGGAGCCCGATGTGGGACTCGATCCCGGGACTCCAGGATCATGACCTGAGACGAAGGCAGTCGCTTAACCAACTGAGCCACCCAGGCGCCCCAGTTTGATAAAATTTTTAAGGGTCCAAGTTACTGTCTAAACCATCTGTCTCTCTCTTTATATGTGGATACATGTCAAAATTTGTTTCCTACATCTAAACTTTTCTCTCTAACTTAACATCCTTAGGTAAATTAAGTTAGTAAAGAATCTTTGGAAGACTGGACAGTTTCTAAATAAGAAACATACAAAACGTTAGTCACTAAGTAAAATTTTTAGCTTTATTTCTTAGAATGTCAAACAATGAACATATCTTTGGATAATATCTGTTTATTTTTGCCTCAAAATTACTGAAACGATATGAAATAAGGGCTCATGGGGGAAAAATAGCTAAATTCTCATTTTCTGTTCTCTAATTTTCTTTATTGTATGGAGAAAAAAATTGTTGATCACTTAAGTTAATATATAAACAGTATTAACAATGTTATATAATGGAGGAGCCAAAATGGCAGAGTAGTAGGAGGACCGTAGACTTGCCTCATCCCTTGAACAAAGCTAGATAAATACCAGATCATTTTGAACACCCAAGAAATCAATCTGAGGACTGACAGAACAAATTGCACAACTAGACGGCAAAAGGAGGCCACATCGTGGAAGGTAGGATGTGCAGAGACATGGTTTGGGGGAGAAAAGGATTGCAGGTGCTGCAGAAGGGAGGGAGCCCTGGTCACAGAGAGAGATGAGAAAGAAAGGAGTGCACAGGGCTCAGGTCATGATCCCAGGGTCCTGGGTTCGAGCCCCATATTGGGCTCCCTGCGCAGCAGGAAGCCTGCTTCTCCCTCTCCCGCTCTCCGAGCTTGTGTTCCCTCTCTCGCTGTCTCTCTCTGTCAAATAAATAAAATCTTTAAAAAAAAAAAAAAAAAAAAAGGAAAACACTTCCCCAAAGCCACTGACTGGGAAAACAAGACAGGCAACCAGCAGGACTCAAAAACTGGAATTTTAGAGGTCTGCAGCTCAGCAGGTATGGTGACCTGAGGGCGCTGCTTTGTTCCCTGTGGAGGAGGGCAGGGGCCTAGAGGCAGATGGGGCAATCTGAGGATCCCCTGGGACACACTGAGAGAGATGGTGCCCCCCATCTTGGAGTGCATCTGAGAGCAGTGGCATTGC